GATTAAGATTTCGGATCATGCTTTGGTTTCAATTGAGATTGTGTTGAAATGTGATTATGACAAAATGAAAAGGTGGAGGTTAAATACAAGAATACTAAATCATAAAGAGATAGTAGATAAAGTGCAAGCAGAATGGCAAGAAATATGGGGCTTTAACGAAAAGGGGGTGACAAAAGGAGTTCTATGGGACACTATGAAAGCAGTGACCAGAGGGTTATGTATAAAAGAGACAATTAACTTAAAAAGAAAGCAAGAAGAAAGGAAAAGGAATTTAGAAAGAGAAATAGAAGAGATTGAAAAAGCATATGTAATAAAGAGAGATACACGAATTTATGCTAGGTTAAGAGCAAAAAAAGAGGAATTGGATAAAATGGAAATAGACAAAGTACAAGAAAATTTAATTTATTTAAGGAGGGAATATTTTGAGTTTAGTGATAGATATTCAAAGATGCTAGCCAAATCAAAACAGAAAAAGAAAATGGAAGGAACGATAAATATGATAAAAGATAAAACAGGTAAATTATGTAGAGCTATGAAAGAAAAATTGAAAGTATTTGAAGAATTTTATAAAGAACTATATCAAACCAAAGCAAGCCCCATAGAGGCAATTAGGAAATATGTGGAGGAAAATTGGGAGAGTAAGCTGGAGGAGAAAGATAAAGAGTTACTGGAACAACCTATCAAGAAAAAAGAAATAGAGGAAGTTATTAATAAATTAAAAGTAGGGAAAGCTCCAGGCTTGGATGGTCTAGGGACAGAATATTATAAAAGCTTTAGAGAAGTTTTAACCCCAAAATTATTAGAATTGTATAATGGAATAATGAAGGGAGATGAAATACCCGAATCATGGAGGAGATCATTAATAATATTAATACCTAAACCGGATAAAGACTTAACAGACCCAGGGTCATATAGGCCCATATCATTAATTAATCAGGATGCAAAGATATTGTCCGCGATAATAGCCAATAGAATGAATAAATGTATGTATAAGTACATAAAAGAAGATCAGTGCGGGTTTGTAAAAGGAAGACAAATGTCAAATTTGATAGGGAGAGTATTAAATAAAATTCATTGGGCTAAAGAGGGGAAGGAAAAAGCAGGGATACTATCATTAGATATTTTTAAAGCGTTCGATTGTGTGGAATGGGAGACATTAAGGGAAATATTGAATAAATTTGGAATGGGAAATAGAATAAAAGGAGTACTAAAACAATTTTACTCAAGGAACTCAGCAGTGGTAACTATAAATGACGGAGTGACAAACGAAATAAAAGTGACTAGAGGAACCAGACAAGGGTGCCCTTTGTCTCCGATACTATTTGCTATGGTGATAGAACTGTTTGCTAATAACATAAGGAATGATAAAAATTTAGAAGGGTTAGGAAAAAAGGAGAAACAGAAGGTGAGCTTATTCGCTGACGATACATTGTTATTTATAGAAAATATAGTGGAGAAAATGGATAGAATAAAAGAACATTTGGAGATATTTGGGAAAGCAACGGGTTTACAAGTTAATTGGAACAAATCAGAAATGATGCTACTTAATTATACAAGAGAAGAAGAAAAAGATTTTATAGAACAGAGAAAAATGGGAATAAGAATTAAAAACAAATTAAAATACTTGGGAGTAACAATAACTAAGGATTTAAAAGAGATAGAGGAAGTAAATGTAGTAACTTTAAGGAAAGAAGTTCAGAAAAAGCTAATAGAGTACGAAGGTATACGCTTATCCTGGTTTGGAAGAATAGCATTAGTAAAAATGAAAATACTTCCAAAAATAAATTTTATATTTAGGATGCTACCACTTCAAATCACAGAAGAAGAACTAACTAGATGGCAACAAATGATTAATAAGTACTGTAATGGAAGTAAAAGAAACAGACTAAATAAACAGTTATGGTATAGATCGCAAAAGGAGGGTGGACTAGCGCTACCTAATATAAAAAAATATTATGAAGCAAGTAGATTAAGTTTGGTTATAGAAGGAATGGTTAAAAAAGAGGGGATAGATTGGCTTAGTAATGATTCAGGAAAAGTGGAAGATGAAACTTGGAATATATTTTTTAAACAGTTTACTAGAAAAGAAATGAGGGAAATTAGAAACCCAATGCTGAGTAACATACTGAAAGTATGGAATAAATATAAGGGGAGGTTAATAAAGGAGGGATCAATTATAACCCCAATAGTGATGGAAAAGAAGTTCCCAAAAATTTTTTAAAAAGTAATGGATAAAAAGGTAAGGGAAATAAATTTAGATAGGATAGGGGATTGGATGAAGGTGGAAATGAAGAGGGAAAGGATGTTGGAAGAGTTTAAAGAAATAAAATTGTCATGGTTTCATTGTATACAATTAGAACAATGGTTAATAAACTGGAAAAAAAATAATAGAAGTGGAAGCCAACTCAATCAATTTGAACAAATAATACAGAAGGGAAGGGCTGTAGAAGAACACGAAAACTTGAGAGGTATAACTAGCAAAATTTATAAGATATTAATTGAAATGAAGGATGAAAAAATAAAAAAGTGTACCCTTAAGGAGATTTGGGAAGAGAATTTAGGGATAAAAATAAGTGAAATAGAGTGGCAACAATTATGGGGACAAAGACATTTAAAAAAATTATCGATACGAGTTAAAGAAAATTATTATAAGTTAATATGGAAGTGGTACTTGACACTGGTAAGAATAGCATATATGAATAAAAATAACTCAATAAATTGTTGGAGAGGGTGTCAAGAACCAGGAACATATATACACATGTGGTGGCAATGTAAATATGTAAATAATTTTTGGGAGAAAGTATTTAGAGAAATAGAAACTATAATGAATATGAAAATAGATAAAAGTCCTAGTATAGCTTTACTATCATTATATAACAATAAGCAATTGAAAAAGGAGGATAAAGAAGCGATAACAAACTTACTAACTATAGCAAGACTGCTTATAGCAAGGAATTGGAAAAAAGAAATGAATATACAAATAGAGGAGTGGTATAAAGAAGCATGGAAAATAGCAATAAACGATAAATTGACATGTATATTAAAGGTTAAAAAAGGTATATGGAAACAAAGCGATTTTGATGCTGTATGGGGAAGATTTGTGGTAAATGGATTAAAAAATAAGGAAGGAAAATTACCGTCACAAGAAGAAATGAAATTTTGGACAGATGAAATGTAAGAATGGTGGCTTGAGACGGGTGGAGGGGAGCACTGTGGTGAAAAAAGGAAAAAAAGAGAAAAGGGGGGGGGGGAATGTCAAAGCAAAATAACAAAACAACATGTTAAAGAGGCTGATGTACAAATTACAATAGTATGTAATAAATGTGATAAATCAATAAAAAAAAATAACAAACACCTAACAACTGTCAGTGGTCTTAGTGCAAAGTTCTTGGAAATGGGACCCAAGTTTACACAAGAAATTTGCACACACCTGATAGAGAATACCTGAAAGCAATTTTATTCCCAATATTTTTATTTTTATTTAGTTTCTGTGTGAAACAGTTTCATACAGTAAGCCTCCAGAAAGGAAAGATGGCACTCTCAGTCACTCAACCTGTATCAAGGGCTTAGATTTATTTTTCAAAGCTGAGCTGTAGTTACTCTGAGATATTTTCCTACTTACATTCACTTTCGGATGAATTGAGTTATTCCCTCCATATAAAGAGGTGAGAATTTTGTGCCTGCATGTGGTCCCCGTGCAAATCCTGGGCTCCCCTGGATCCTAATCCTTCATCCCTGCCAAAAATACACCAAGTTCATTGAAAATATACCAGGTTCATTGGAAATACACCAAGTTCATTGGAAATACACCAGGTTCATTGGCAAGGGACCTTCCCCAGAACCTCTCCACCCAGTTTTTCCAGTCCCAGTGCCCTGGCCCCATGCCCCCCCCCCCCCGTGCCCCTCTTTGGAGATGCCAGCTTGTGCCCATCTGCCCATGCCTCCGCTCCTTCTTGGATCCCCCTGCTTCCTCTCTCACCTGCCTCCCTCTCTCTGCAGCAAACCAGGGTCCATTTACACTACAATGTAGAATTAATGCTGTTTGCAGCACTTTCGCTGCTATGGTGCAATACTACCGAATCCCAGGAGTTGTAGTTTCCCAAGGTCTTTTACTTTCTCTTCAATAGTGCTCATGCCTCACCAAACTACAGCTCTTGTGACTCCATAGCACTGAGTTGTAGCAGTTAACATGCTACAGTGTTGATGGGGCCATGAGAAAGCCTTCTCCATCCAGTCACAACACTCTGCCAGGTTCCTATGGGGCAGTGGTTCTCAACCTGTGGGTCCCCAGATGTTTTAGGGACCCTGTCAGCTGGTAAACTGGTTAGGATTTCTGGGTGTTGTGGGCAAAACACCTGGGGACCCACAGGCTGAGAACCACTACTATGAGGGGATAGGGTGCTTAAAATAGGATGGACTTAAGCTGCATAGGGCAGAGAAAGAGGAAGCATCCTATATTCTCAAAGGCAGAGGCATTTGAGGTTGCAGCGCCAGAGGTTGGGCAGAGGCGGAGTCATCAGCTGCTTTCCAGGAAGAGAAAGTCCTATGGGGCAGTAGTTCTCAACCTGTTGGTCCCCAAATGTTTTGGCCTTCAACTCCCAGAACTGCTAACAGTTTGTAAAGTGGCTGGGATTTCTGGGTGTTGTGGGCCAAAACACCCAGAAATGGGGACTCACAGGATGAGAACCACTACTATGAAGAATAGGGTCTTTCAGGTAGGCTGGACTTAAGCTGCATAGGGCATTATAGATTATACGCACCCCTTTGTGCCTGGAAATAAATCAAGAACCAGGGAGGTTCTTTTTCTTTTTTTAGGAAGGGAGTTATATGCTTAGAGAACAACTTGCAAAGTGCCCAGGAAGGCAGAGAAAGAGGAAGCATCCTATAGTCAGTTTCTCAAAGGCAGAGAGCATTTGGAGAGCTCAGAGGTTGCAGCACCAGAGGTTGGGCAGAGGCGGAGTCCTCAGCTGCTTTCCAGGAAGAGAAAGTCTGAGAAACGAAAGTAATAAGGCTATTAGCTTTATCTGGTCTTCACAGTTGAACAGCTTCAGCAGCCATGGCCTCTGGAGACCCTATGAAGGAGCTCTGTGAGGAACTGGCCTGTCCCATCTGCTTGGAGTATTTCAAGGAGCCTGTGACCATCTCTTGTGGGCACAATTTTTGCCAATCCTGTCTGGATCAATGCTGGAAGGAGAAAGACGCCTCCTGCCCACAGTGCAGGGAGAAAGTGCAAGAAGAGGACACCAAACCAAATAGGCCGCTGGCGAACCTGGTGGAGATAGCCAAGAAATTGGGGCTCCAGAAGGCAGAAGAGAAGGGGAGAGTCTGCCAGAGGCACCAGGAGCCCCTGAAGCTCTTTTGCGAGGACCACAAAGCCCTCATGTGTGTGGTGTGCGACAGATCGAAGGAACACCAAAACCACAAGGTGATTCCTCTAGATGAGGCATCGAAAGAGTACAAGGTAAGAGGAGATAAAGTTCCATTCCACAATACGGAGGGGTGCCTGGCAATTCAGTATCCTGTGGCCTGGGGTTTTCAGAAAGTTAAGGTGCATCTGCATTGTAAAATTCATGTAGTCCAACACACCTTTAACTGGCTTGACTCAATACTATGGAACCAAGGGAGTTGTAGTTTTATAAGGTCTTCTTTGCCTTCTTTGCCAAAGAGTGCTGCTGCCTCACCAAACCACAACTCTCAAAATTCCATAGTGTAGATGCACCCTAAGACATGAAGCAATGGATCAGACAACAGAAAGATCATGAGGAAGAACGTCCAGATGGAAAGAGCTCTTCTCTGGTGGAATTCTCTGTAATGTGTTGGAGTTTCCTTCTCTAAACAGAGGCTGGATGGCCATCTGTCAGGGGATGTTTGGATTGTGTGATCCTGAGTGGCAGAATGAGGTTGGATAATGGGTTTTATTGCACAAATCCATTCCAAATGTCACTGACAGTATCTACATACTGAGCTGAGCACTTTATTATCACTCTTCTCTTCATTTGCTTGTTTCTACCAATTCAGCAATGCTGGGACAGAAGTGGAAGCAGCATTAAGAAAAGGAGAGAGGTCAGGATCATTCAAACCTCCTGTAAAATCCAGCAAATGTGGCATGTTTGATGGCATGATCTTTGAAACTATTGTAAACTGTGGACGACAGAAGTGACCAAGGACTTTGTTTTTCTCTTCAGGATCAGATTAGGAATTTGCTGGAGTCTCTGGAGAAGGAAAGAGAGAAAATTCTGGCCTACAAAGCAAATACAGAAAAGGAAATTGACTATGTTCTTGTAAGTGGAAATGTCTACCATTACAAAATACCTGACAGTGTACAGAAAATATTGACCCGAGGCCTTTGAAGGAATTCACAGAGCTCTTTCACTACTGGATATGATGTTTTATAATAATAATAATAATAATAATAATAATAATAATAATAATAATAATTCTTTTTATTTATTTATACCTTGCCACCATCTCGCCAAGGGGACTCGGGGCAGTTTACATAAGGCCAAGCCCAGCAATACAATACATCAATATACAACAGAACACAGCAATAAAATATAAAGAAAAATACAATACAAGTCTTTTTTTCAAGGAAAAGTGGAGAACTCCAAAAAAATATTTATTCTGCCTCTCACTCCTGTATCTCCTTTCCTTTATTGCAGAAGATAACCCAAATTCAGAAGGAGAATGCTGTGGCTGCATTCAGACACATGTGTCAATTTCTTGAAAAACAAGAGAGGAATCTGCTTGCAAAAATGGAAGAGGTGGAGAAGGAGATTTGGGCAAAAAGTGAGGAACATCTGGTCAGGATCTCCAAAGAACTCTCCTCTCTCTCAAGTCTCATGCAAGAGATGGAGGAGAAGCACCAGCAGCCGGCAAGTGAACTCCTCCAGGTAAGGCCCATTTTGTCCCCAGGGATGGCTCAGACAGTGACACCTTTGACTTCGAATGGTTCAGTGTACACAGATTTTGTTTTATGCACACAATATTAAAAATATTGTATAAGATTACCTAAATGAAACAAAATTACAAATACAAGACATAAATGAATTTAGTCTTTAAACTTGAGTCCCATCTCAAAGACATCTCACTATTCCAAAATCTGGAAAAATCCAAAACACTGCTGGTCTCCGACTTTTCAGATAAGGAATACCCAACCTGTAAGGTGATATGATGGCTCCTTGGGCACTGTGCCCAAACCTTTAACACTTCTTTAGAATAATAGAATGTTAGAGGGGAAATGACCACAAGGGTCATCCAGCCCTATTCTGCCATGCAGGAATACACAGCTGCAGCACTCCTGAAAGTTGCCTCTTTTTAAAGACTTCCAAAGAAGAACACAAGTTGAACATGAGTCAACAAAGTGATACAGAAGCAAAATTTTATATATATATGATCCTAGGCTACATCAATAGGAGTATAGTGTCTCAAAGGGACATAAAAGTCCTTGTGCTGTCACACGCTGGGCCTGTGCATAAGACTGTAGACAGGACATAAATTCTGTGTGCCCAACGGGACGCCGGGGCTGCCTCAGATTAAAGGTCCTTGGATTTCCTTAAAACAGAATCTTTAGATTGCTTAAAGGTTCAACAAAGTTCTTTATTATTGAAAACAAACAGGTACTTTAAGGCTTTCTTAACAGTCTATTGGCTCTCTCTCAATCTTGTCCACGGGGAACAGGCACTATTTTCATAACTCTATATATTCTGGAACAGCTGTTCCAGGAGCTCCAATTTTATTTGCTTTGAACTAAAGGTTTGTTTACAATCTCAGGCTTGGGATTTTGCAGCAGGGTGGCTTCCTGTTATAGTTTGCAGTCATAGGGCAAGCCCCCTGTCCATCTTCATTTAGCTTTGGTTCTGCCCCTTTTCCTGGGTTTTGGGAAGAGAGAGGAACCATTTTAGTCAGTCACACATAAGGAAGCCAGCCTATAGGACACAACTCAGTTTGTCCCGTAGGAAAGGCTTCATTCCTCAAGACCATCTGGGGTCCTAACTGACTATCCAGTTCCAGGGAAATGGAAGGAAAAGGTCCCAAAGGCTCTGGCTGAGAGCTCACAGCCTCTCAGCCTCACAGCACCAGAGGGGAAAACAGACAGCATCGTAGAACCACGGAATTCCAGCTGCTATATCTTCAAACCTCAGCCGGTAAGGTCTGCTTGATATTGAGCTCCCTTTTGGAGGGGTCTCCCTGAGAGAGAGATCCCTGAGGACTGCACCAAAGAAAGTCCTTAAACCTTGGTGAGGCCAGAAAAGCCAATTTCAGTGATAAAAATATTTAAAATAATAAATCCTCACCAAAGTGGAAGAAGTTTCAGCGACCGAGGTGTTTATTAGCAATTCAGCTGCAATCGGATGCAATTGTAGGAATCATTCCACTACAAGCATACTGCTAGGCAATTTACAAGCATTTTTATAGAGAAAATACAGCAAAACCTTTTGAAATTCCTGCCCGCCCCTCTCCGCCTGGCTTCGCACTGATTAGTTGACAGCTGGACAGCTAGGAGGAGGCTTGGCAACCCGCCTTGCTTCTGGGCCAATCAGCGAGTTCCTCTGCCTCTGGAGGGCCAATCAGCGTGCTTTCCCTGCTTCTGAGAATGGACGAATCAGAAGCAGGCAAGGCGGGACGACTGCGGACAATGGGGGAAATGATGGGATTAGGGATAGCCAGCCAGCTGGAATGTGAGGCTTTGTCTTGGCTGGCAAGGTGCGATCTTCATTAGAAAGGTTTTCCTGTCCTTGATGAGTTTTGGTGAAGAAAATAAACAGGATCAGGCTGCGAACCTCGGGGGGATCAACGCTGCCCTTTGTAATTTCAATCATTTTTACCCGAAGTCTCATAGATTTCCCCATCTCACCAGACATGCTCAGAAAATGAGATAAAGAAATCATAATTGCTATTGTTTCATGCAGATGAGTTGATCAACAAAAGAGTTTCGAGGGAGGCAGGGGTTCTCCCTCGGGCTGTTCAACAATCCTTGGTCATTTTTACAGGGGAAAGGTCAAAAGGGAAGGGGAAACGGATGACATTTCATGCATTATTTCCTTATACAGAGTTCATATAAAAATTCCCTTTCCCACCCCACATCTTTATTATTTCATTAAAATATTTGATTTTTTATTAAAAAGAACTAGAAATCCCATGCTCCTGGGGAAGGTTCATGGAAACGGAGGTGGCTTGCAGTCCAAGTCAAGCAGCAAAGAGTCATTTCTCCCTGCAGAAGTCAGCAGATGGGCGCTGAGTCAACGAATAACAAGATCCATTGCTCGGTCCTTGGGGAACTATGTCTCCCTCCCAAGGACCAGGTCTCCTGTCTGGCCCCCTCTCCAGGGTCCCCTGTGGGCGCCCACAGCAAGTCCCTGTTAGTGGGGCTGCGCAGGAACGAGCAGCCACAAAGAGAAACGGGCTGCTTTGTGCAGAGCCGGCGGAGTTTGGCAATCAGCTGTTTTCTGTCAAATTATATTACTTAAAACAAAACAATTATTTCCCGGGCGTAGGGATCCAAAATGAGAAAAGCGAGATAGCAGTTTCGTTAGGAATCAAGCACAGAAAAATATGAAATTGGAACGGGGCCGATCCGCCATTTTGAGATTTTTAGCGGATACAGGGGTCCAATAGGAAAGATTCTGTATCCGCGGTCTTAACGGTCGCAGATTCGGCCTCCCTGGGACGCCCAGAAGGCATCCCAGGCGGGCTCACGACTGCCCGGAGCCCAGAAAGAAGTTTATTTCAAGTTTGGGTTAGTTTGAGGCAAGGGAAGATACAATGTATCAAGCGGAAAGCTTAAAAGTTGCAAGTTTCAAGTACCTTCATTAGAGATCTGATACAAAGTCAGGGCTAGAGGGAAAGTAACAGAGGCTGAGTGCATTCTTAGTCAGAGCTGCCTGTTGGGTCGCATTACATCAGTTTTTTCCAATTATTGGCCACCAGGAACTGCGGAACTCTCTGCTGCAGTGCAGAGCAACTACTGGGCGGAGGCTCTTGGCACCATACTCGATACCCAGACGCACGTGGATTTCGGTAGCAGCACTCACGCCGACTAGGCATAGATAGAAAGCGGCCTGGGAGGGATTATAAAGAGTTCTTCCTTATGCTGAGATAGTACAGTTAAACCAAGTCAGTGCCAGTCTCTTAAAGACTAGAATAGTAAAGCCTTGACGTGTTGTTTGAAGATTTGTTCCTTAATAAAGACTTTGTTGTACTTTTAAAGAACTCTAAAGCCCATTACTTCTGGAAGTCCCTAACAATCTCTCTTCAGGCACCCCAGCTTCCCACTGGCTTTAAAGTGTGCGTCCTGTAGAATAAAGACATTGTGTACAGGCCCAGTGGCAACAGAACAGTATACTAACTAATGGGGAAATCCTTAACTTCTAATCTGGACAGTCTGTCTTTACCTCTGTTGGCGTGGAGCCCCTGCACCCAGTACCAACTGCTTCTGGCTTTCGCGAGTGACCCTTACCAAGCAGAGCTTTGTAGACTTCCAGAGGAAAAAGGAGTTTCAGTGATGGCTGGCTGAAGTCCCTCAGCAAAGGAGCTGTAAGGCTGTATAATCCTTGGCCAAGCTACGGGACCTTTCTCCCTAGCCAAGCTGTAGGGCTGTATATCTCCCCGGCCAAGCTGTGAGCTGTATAACCCCGGCCAAGCTGTAGAAGACGAAGCTTTCTACAGAAGCCCTTGGTTTTATGTCCTGCATGAAAGGCTTCTCTGTGTGGACTGGCCCAAAATGGCTCCTATTCCCTCCAAAACCCAAAAAGGGGGCAGGACCAGGGAACCTAACGATAATTGACAGGTGGCTTGCCCTATGATTGCAGCCAAAAGAAGCCACCTATCTGCAGAGCCCCTGAAACTCAGGACTACAACAAACATTCAATGCAAACAAAATTGGAGCTCCAGGTACAGCTGTACCTGCACACTCCTGCTCTATTCTTCTTTCATCAGGCCTTACCTGGAACAATCCTGTGTCCAGTTCTGAGCAAAAGACTTCAGACAGGATATTAACAAGCTGGAACGTGTCCAGAAAAGGGTGAGCAAAATGGCCAAAGGTTTGGAAGCCAAGTCCTAAGAGAAGTGGCTTAATGAGTTGGGCACATTTAACCAGGAGAAGAGAAGACTGAGAAGTGACATGTTTGCTATGTTTCAGGAAGAGGGAGCAGGCTTGTTTTCTCTTGTCTCAAACAGTGGAGAGGTCTTCTTCACTGAAGATTTTTAACAGAGGTTGGATGGCTATCTGTCAGGAATGCTTTGATTGTGTATTCTTGCATAGCAGATTGTTGGACTGAAGAGATCCACTTTCCCAACATCCTGGGGCTTCAAGAAGGCGCATTTGAACAGTAATTTGGTGGCTCCGCCAAAAAGCTGTTTGAAATAGATACTCATGACATAGATTTCCCCATCTCTCAAGTTTATGGAGGGAGGGCTATTTCACCCTCCTAGGTTTGCTTCAGCTATTGCAATGAGTTGGAAATGCTATTTTTTCAGAGATATGCTGATTTGTTTATTTCCTTCATTCACAGGATATTAGAAGCTTCTTACAGGGGTAAGTGAATCTCCCACCACATCTCAGGTTTTCAAGTGAAGCACATGCCTCACCCATCTTGTCAGGCTTTTCAAAGTAGCAGCGCATTGTACAATTCAGTGTTTGGCTGGGCTTCATTGTGGAGTTGGACTTGATTCGTCAAGGAACATGAAAGGCACTGCAGACTACTTCAACCAGACAAGTCAGCCATAGCAGAGCACCTGATGAACCAGCCTGGACACAGCATATTATTTGAGAACACAGAAATGCTGGACCACTCCAACAACCACCATGTTAGACTACACAGAGAAGCCATTGAAATCCACAAGCATGTGGACAATTTCAACAGAAAGGAAGAGACCATGAAAATGAACAAAATCTGGCTACCAGTATTAAAAAACTCTAAAAGTACAACAGCAAAACAGCAGAGAGGAAACAACCAGGCACATCTTAACACCTCTCAACAAAAGATTTTCCCAGGCTCAGCCAGGCCTTCAAATGCTAATGAAGGTGGTCAGTTGAAACATTCACACCTAGCTCCAGCAGGGAAGAGCTCTTTGCCCCACCCCAGCCATTCCACAGATATATAAACCCATTTCCTAATTCCAACAGACCTCACTACCTCTGAGGATGCTTGCCATAGATGCAGGCGAAACGTCAGGAGAAAATGCCTCTAGAACATGGCCATATAGCCCAAAAAACCCCACAAAAACCTAGTGATTCCAGCCATGAAAGCCTTCGATAATACAGTAATATATTGCATCAACAGACTATGTAGTGTTTCAATGACAGGCTAGAATATGTATGAGCGATGCTAATCATCCTCCTCTCCATAGGCTAGGTTACACAGATGGGTGTTTAAGAGCTTTGTTAAAGGAGATGAGGGAGGGGGGCACTTTTAGTTTTTTAGGGAGGGAGTTCCAAAGGCGGAGAGTGGCCACAGAAAAGGCCCCTTCCCTCATTCCCACCAGCCGCACACGAGACTAAGGTGGGACCGAGAGGAGGGCCTTCTCCATGGACCACAGTGCTCGTGCACACAGAGATGTGATTCTTCAAATAGTCTAGGCCCTAACCATTTGGGGCTTTATAGGTAATAACCAGCACTTTGTACCTAGCCCAGAAATGGACCAACAGCCAGTGGAGCTGCCACAGCATAGAAATAGTTCTCTCCATGTATGGTGCTCCAGTTAGTAACCTGGCTTCCAGTTTCTGAATTAGTTGCAGCTTCTGAACTATCTTCAAAGGCAGCCCCACATAGTGAGTGTTGCAGTAGTCCAGACGGGAAGTAACCAAGGCATGGACTACCATGGCCAGATCTGACGTCTCAAGGTATGGGTGAAGCTGGTGCACAAGTTAAGAGTGAATGCGCTCCTGACCACCACCAACACCTGGAGTTCCAGGGTCAGCGATGAGTCCAGGAGCACACCCAGACTGCGAACCTGTGTCTTCAGGGGAAGTGTGATCCTGTCCATCTCAGGTTGTAATCCCGCACTCTGATCTGCCTTCCAACTGAACAGGAGTACCTCTGTTTTGTCTGGATTTACCTTCAACTTATTAGCACTCATCCAGTCCATCACTGTTGACAAGCACTGGTTGAGAGGCAGAACGGCATCCTTGGCTTTTGGTAGAAAGGAGTAATAGAGTTGGGTGTCGTCAGCATAAATTTGACACCAAACTCCAAAATTCCAGATGATCTCTCCCAGCGGTTTCATGTAAATGTTAAACAACATGGGGGACAGAATTGAACCCTGAGGGACCCCCCAGGCTACCAGCCAGGGAGTCGAACAGGATCCCACAGCTCCACCATCTGGGTACAGCCCTCCAGGAAGGACCTGAGCCACTGCAAACAGTGCCGCCCAGTCCCATCCCTAGAAAGATACCATGATTGATGGAATCAAAAGCCACTGAGAGGTCCAGGAGGACTAGCAGGGACACACTCCCCCTGTCTAATTCTCTTTGTAGATCATCCACCAAGGTGATCAATGCTATCTCTGTCCCATGACCAGATCTGAAAACAGATTGGGATGGATCCAGATAATTGGTTTCATCCAAGAAACATTGGAGTTGTGAGGCCACCACCTTCTCTAGAACCTTGCCCAAGAAGGGGCGGTTTAAAACTGGCTGATAATTTGAGTGGGATCCGGTGCCGTTTTTTTTTTTTATCCCTGAAACTGATAGGCATGATGCCTTGGGTCAGGGAAGCATTAATCAGCACCTTCATTCACTCTGCCATTCCCCCTGGCCGATTTAATAAGCAAGGATGGGCAAGGGTCTAGAGAACAAGTGGTCACTCTCATTCCTCTCATTCCAAGATCTTGTCCATATCCTCAGGCTGGATAAGTTGAAAGGAATCCATAGAACCACAACAAACAGATGCCTCAGTTACTTCCACAGAAACTGCATTAACACTGGTGTCAATGATGGAATGGATCTGAGTGACCTTATCTGCAAAAGAACTGGCAAATTGTATTGTTGAAGGCTTTCATGACTGGAATCACTAGGTTCTTGTTGGGTTTTTCGGGCTATATGGCCATGTTCTAGAGGCATTTTTCCTGACGTTTCGCCTGCATCTATGGCAAGCATCCTCAGAGGTAGTGAGGTCTGTTGGAACTAGGAAAATGGGTTTATATATCTGTGGAATGACTGGGGTGGGGCAAAGAGCTCTTCTCTGCTGAAGCTAGGTGTGAATGTTTCAGCTGACCACCTTCATTAGCATTTGAAGGCCTGGCTGAGCCTGGGAAAATGTTTTGTTGAGAGGTGTTAAGATGTGCCTGGTTGTTTCCTCTCTGCTGTTTTGCTGTTGTAATTTTAGAGTTTTTTAATACTGGTAGCCAGATTTTGTTCATTTTCATGGTCTCTTCCTTTCTGTTGAAATTGTCCACATGCTTGTGGATTTCAATGGCTTCTCTGTGTAGTCTGACATGGTGGTTGTTGGTGTGGTCCACCATTTCTGTGTTCTCAAATAATATGCTGTGTCCAGGCTGGTTCATCAGGTGCTCTGCTATGGCTGACTTCTCTGGTTGAAGTGGTCTGCAGTGCCTTTCATGTTCCTTGATTCATGTTAGGGCAATGCTGCTGTGTTTGGTGGTCCCTATGTAGACTTGTCCACAGCTGCATGGTATATGGTAGACTCCTGCAGAGGTGAGAGGATCCCTCTTGTCCTTTGCTGAACGTAGCATTTGTTGGATTTTCTTGGTGGGTCTGTAGATTGTTTGTATGTTGTGTTTCCTCATCAGCTTCCCTATGCGGTCAGTGGTTCCCTTGATGTATGGCAGGAACACTTTTCCTCTGGGTGGATCTCTGGGTGGATCACTTTTCCTCTGGGTGGACCCATCGTGAGTGCCATTGGATCCCCCACGTACGACCTAGCAACATTTCTTGCTGCACAGTTACAAAGCCATATTGGGCTCACTACACACTACATCAAGGACTCAGCCCACTTCATAGAAAAAATCAGCAATCTCAAGCTAAATACCAACGACAAACTGATCAGCTTCGATGTGGTATCTCTATTTACCATGGTCCCGGTAGCAGACACCATGGCACTCATCAACCAGAGGTTCCCAGAAGACATCACGGCTCTGTTTCACCATTGCCTCACCACCAGTTACTTTCAGTGGGACAATGAATTCTACGAACAGAAAGATGGAGTAGCTATGGGGAGCCCTCTCAGCCCCGTCATAGCTAACTTCTACATGGAACACTTTGAAAAACAAGCCCTGGAGACAGCAACCAAAAAGCCCACGATATGGTTCAGATATGTGGATGACACCTTCACCATTTGGAGCCATGGAGAAGAAGAACTCAACAGGTTCCTGGACCATCTTAACAGCATCCACCCAAACATCCAGTTCACCATGGAAAAAGAAAATGAAGGAAGACGGCCTTTTCTAGATGTCCTAGTCATCCGCAAACCAGATCAACAATTGGGTCACACCGTTTACAGAAAACCCACACACAGAGATAGATATCTACATAAAAACTCCAACAATCACCCAAGTCAAAAAAGAAGCACCATTAAAGCCTTGGCAGACCGTGCAAAAAGAATCTGCGAACCCCACCTCCTCCAAGATGAACTGAACCACCTCAACTGGGCTCTCCAGGCCAATGGAGACTCCACCTCAGACATCAGAAGAGCTGCAAGACCAAGAACAAGCCACGAGAGTAAAGATGAAGATCCAACCAGAGGAAAAGTGTTCCTGCCATACATCAAGGGAACCACTGACCGCATAGGGAAGCTGATGAGGAAACACAACATACAAACAATCTACAGACCCACCAAGAAAATCCAACAAATGCTATGTTCAGCAAAGGACAAGAGGGATCCTCTCACCTCTGCAGGAGTCTACCGTGTACCATGCAGCTGTGGACAAGTCTACATAGGGACCACCAAACGCAGCATTGCCCAAACACGAATCAAGGAACATGAAAGGCACTGCAGACTACTTCAACCAGAGAAGTCAGCCATAGCAAAGCACCTGATGAACCAGCCTGGACACAGCATATTATTTGAGAACACAGAAATGCTGGACCACTCCAACAACCACCATGTCAGACTACACAGAGAAGCCATTGAAATCCACAAGCATGTGGACAATTTCAACAGAAAGGAGAAGACCATGAAAATGAACAAAATCTGGCTACCAGTATTAAAAAAACTCTAAAATTACAACAGCAAAACAGCAGAGAGGAAACAACCAGGCACATCTTAACACCTCAGTCATTCCACAGATATATAAACCCATTTTCCTATTTCCAACAGACCTCACTACCTCTGAGGATGCTTGCCATAGATGCAAGCGAAACATCAGGAAAAATGCCTCTAGAACATGGCCATATAGCCTGAAAAAACCCACAAGAACCTAACTGGCAAATTCATCACAATGAGCTGCCTACTGATTAGGGATCCCTGGCTGGTCAGGGTTTAATAGTCCTCTGACCATTGGAAACAGTTCTCTTGGGCAGTTTTGTGCAGATGCAATGTTGGCAGCAAATCATGATTTTTCTGTCGCCTTGATTGCTGTGGAATAGGCTTTTGAATGAGCTCCAGACAGTGCTCAGTCAGACTCGTTATGAGTTTTCACCAACACTGCTCTATTCTCCGTTTCACTTGCTTCATTACTGCTAGCTCCCTGCTGTATCAGGGAGCTAACTTGGCTCAGCATATATCTTATAAGACTATAACTCCCACAATGGCATAGCATTTAGCCAAGGCTGTGGAAGTGGTGTCAAACCCTCTGATATTGTTCTTTCTCCTCCAGGTATCAGAAGAGAGAGAAATTTGAGACTCCTGTGGTTTTTCCTCCTGCCCTGAAATGGAAGATTTGGGACTTGCATGATATCAATCCCTTTCTGGAGGGTGTCATGAAGCAATGCAGAGGTAACCGAATATCAGAAAGGATTTTCAATGAGATGTGACATTTTGTCTGAAAGGGTATCATCTACACTATAGAATGAATGCAGTTGCCACCATTTTGACTGCCATGGCTCAATACTATAGAATCATTGGAGGTCCTCCAGAACATCGCTATAGTTATCTTCTGCTGAAAGCTGACCATGTTATAGTTGTGCTGCAGGACCTGGAGGTCCCTAGAGATAATATATTATTAATCAACTCCATGATCATCAAATCTGGTAAAGTGAAACCTGCAATTATGGAGTGCTGAACAGAGTAGTCTGAACAGAGTTGTGTCTAGATGTTGGCCCAAAGGTGATAATGAAATCTGCAAAAGTAAAACCCACAATGGTGCAGGGATAACTGTAGCTTGTACAAATGTTGTGGCTTGGGTATCTCAGGCCCCATCTGTACTGCCATATAGGATCCAGGTTATCTATCCAGAACTTGATAATATGGCATTGTAGACTCATATAATCCAGTTCAAAGCAAGTAATGTGGATTATCTGCTTTGATAGTCTGGATTATATGGTACTGTGGAGAAGAGGTCTAGGACTGGATCTACCCTGCCATATCATCCAGATTATCAAACTTAGAACTGGATTATATGACTCTACACTGGATTATATGGCAATGTAGAGTCATATAATCCAGTTCTAAATTTGATAATTTGGATGATATGACTCTACACTGCCATATAATCTGGTTCAAAGCAGGTCATCTGGGTTATTTGGCAGTGTCGATGGAGCCTAGGTTATACAGTGCAATTCAATGAGCAACTTCTATCAACTGTTTGAAACTACAGGCTCACTATAGGATCTAGAGATCACTAGAGAGGTGTTCTCTGTGGGAATTTCTAGATCCTCAACCTTTGGCGGACGTTGACCATCAAGTCACATAGCAGGACGTGAGGATTCTGAGAGAGAACATTTTTATCAATTCGTGAATGATTGGATTCACTGATTTTAACCTCAGTCTGAGAGGTGGTTAGCATTTTTCTGTAGTTCTCTTAACTCCTTATGCACTAAGACATACTTAGCCAGAAAAAGAGGCAGAGGAAGTTCCCTGCAACCCATCCTTTCTTTCCTTGTAGTGTGAATTTACAAACCTCTTTCAACGCCACATCCGAAGCTTCCACTGACATTCCCCTATGAAGACTGCAGCACACATTGCAGTAAATACAGTATTTATTGAATTTCATGCCTGGCTGTACATTGCGTGCCAATGAAGTGATGCACATTGGACAATCAATGCCACCATTTCCGAACAAGGCGTAACTCTTTGCAGTTGAAGTTACACTTAATTTCTTGGGTGAAGGATCTCAGCCATCATGAGTTGTTTCCTCTTGATTTCTGAAAGTCACCATCTCTCTCTCTTTCTCTCTTTAGACTCTCTGGAATCTGGAATTCAGCAGCAAAAAGGTAAACCAAAAATATTTTGTTCTAGCAGGGTTTGCCATGGCCTTCCCTCTGAGACTGAGAGAGTGGGACTTGCCCAAGGACATCTAGGGGCTTTCTGCTGCACAGGGGGGATTCAGACCCTGGTCTCTCAGGCCCCATGTACATTGCAATATAATTGAGTTTCTGAATCCAGATTATCTACTTTGAAGTGGACTATATGCCAGTATAGACTCATATAATCCAGTTCAAATCAGATAATCTGGGATCAGATTCTGGATTATATGGCAGTGTAGATCCACCCTCAAAGTACAGTAGTCTCACTGTAGTCATCTTGGCTCCTAGGCAGCATTCGGGCTTCATTTAGTTCCATTTATTTGTCTCTTTATTTGTCTCTCTCCAGAATCTTTTTACCCAGCGTTAACCACACTTCCACAAAATATAGCAGGGCCATGCAAAACACACCTCTCCCTTTCTCTCAGGGTGCATCTAAACATCAGAAACAATGCAGTTTGACAACACTTCAACTGCCATGGGTCACATCATTGGACCTTGTAAAACTACAACACCCATGAATCAATAGCACTGAGCTGAGACAGTTAAAGTGTGGTCAAACTGCATTTATGCTAAAGCGTAGATGCACCCTAAAGCAGAGGTATATAAAGTACACCTTCTAGGATATTTTTGTTGCCCTCAATCCCTTTGGAGCAGGCATGGGCAAACTTGTTTGCTTTGAGACCACATTGTGGGCCTGACCAGGAGGGTGGGCAGCCAGCACGGCCGGGCATGCATTGGGTGGGACAGGCCCAGGAGTGGGAGGAGAAGGCTGTGAGGGGGTGAGGCAGGGCCCGGGTCATCCACAGGTTGTCCACCTGGCATAAGGATGGGGCTGCTTGCCCCATCCTTATGCTGGGAGGAAAATGAGACATGGTGGCTGCCTTGATCCTCCTCCTCTCAGCTTTCCTCTCAGTAGCATAATGCCGAGAGGAGGGTGAGACACACAGTGATTGAGAGCGCTCCAGAAGGCTCTCAGCCATTGTGTGCCTTCCTCTCCTATCCTTTCTGCATAAGGATGTGGTGGGCCAGCACGCCCTTATGCCGAGAGGACAGGGAAAATGAGGAGGGCCTGAAGTAGGAGGCTGCATCTGGCCCCGGGCCTTACTTTGCCCATGCCTATTCTGGAGTCACCAGACCAATCTTCTTTTAGCTAAAATAAGACCTTGAACATATGGAACACATTTTCAATAAGTTACAAGGACCCCTTTGCATTGTTTAATGTGAAAACTCAAACATGGTTTTCTGACCAATTTGGGGGCTGTGTTTAGTATTTCTTCTTCAGTAGCTTGTGTACCACCTAGCTTAAAAGTGGTTCCTTGAGCTGCCACAGTTGCCTACCGCTGAAACACGTCTACACTGTAGAATGAATGCATTTTGAGCCTACTTTGACCGACATAGCTCAATGTTATGGAATTCTGGGAGTTTTTTTATTTGGGAAGGCACCAGTAGTGGTTGGCAGATAAGGGTAAAGACCTTGTGAAACTACAGTTGTTATGACTCCACAGCATGAAGTCAAGAAAGTTTCCTGGACTTTTTCTGGGTTCATTTCTAGCATAATTGGTCAACAGCACAAAAAGATAAGGTGAGATCAAACTTATCATTAATGTCCTAAACTTTCTTTGTGTCCTTTGTTCTTTTTATTAGTGGACACTTGCCTACGACCATCCAGTTGTGTTGCCTTTAGTGACCCAAATAATGGTGTGTTTTCATTATAAAAGGCCTGGTGGGCGTGAGGAAACCATTGGGACTCTCTCTCCTGATGAGAGTTTAGGAAGAACCATTTTTGAGGACTCTAAATTCCAAAATTCCCCAGGAATCATAGGCACAGGGTAATGTTCTCACACTCTGCACATATCAATATTCATCAGCAATCAGGTTAATTACAAAAATATCATATAATAGCCCAGTGGTTTAAAGTATAACCCTCCCAAGGCAGTCCATTTCAGTGACAACAATAAACTATTTTCTAATGAATGGAAATTAGTTGTTGTTAAGTAGAATGCAGAATATTGCGGCAACAAACAAGAAGTCCATATCTCTCCCCCCAATTCTGGAGAGCCTTATTATATAGCACAGATCAAGAGGAAATAGCTTTAGATTGAAAGAACTTGACAAAGCCTTCTGTCAACTGTCAACAGCTGACCAAATTTCAAATGATTGCAAATTGTTGGCTGTGAAGTAGAATGTAGAACGTTGCAGCAACAAACACAAAGTCCATAGCCCCTTCCACATTGGCCTACATCCCAGAATTTGATCCCAGATTATCTGGTTATCCCAGATTATTTGGCAATGTAGACTCATATAACCCAATTCAAAGCAGTTCAAAGTAGACGCAGCCTAAACATCTTTCCTCAAATTCTGAAGAGTCTCATTATGCAGCAAGATTACAAGGAAATGGCTTTAGACTGAAAGTTTTTGTTTGAGATTAAATCTGTTTGTATGAGAGCTATATTCTGGGAGCTGTAATTAAAAAGAAACTTTTTCAAATTCTAAACAAAATGGATGTTCCTGGATTCTCACAGGAATTTCCTTTGGAATATCAAAATAACCTAAATCTTGACTTTCTGCCCCATTCTGTTCCGATGTGCCTTCCCAGAATAGGAAATCTCCAATACCACATCCCAGAAGCACTTTATTAGAACTAAGATTGCCGCACACTGCACACTGCACCTACCCTATAATCCTTACATATCACCTGTCACATCAGCACTTTTAATCCTGTACCCTTCACTCTGGCCCGGCCCAGTTTTATTGTGTTTTGGTGTACTGTTTATTGCTTGTTGTTTTGTTGTTTAATTGTTTTTAATTTGCTTTAGGTTGTGTATTGTTATGTTGTGTTTGAGGCCTTGGCCTTTGTAAGCCGCATCGAGTCCTTCGGGAGATGCTAGCGGGGGACAAATAAAGATAATAAAGATAATAAAGATAATAATAATAATAATAATAATAATAATAATAATAATTATTATTATTATTATTTCATCAGGAGCTTCAAGCTGATTTTAATGTCAGGATAGGCTTTTTTTTGTCAAGCACGCACTATGCCTAATAATAATAATAATAATAATAATAATAATAATAATACATCATTATTTATATCCCACTTTTCTCCCTCACAGGACCCAAGTACAACATATTAAAACCATGTAAACAACAATCCATATACATCAATAATAAGTATACAAACATCATAAAACAAGCAATTTAAAATAACAATAATATACATTCACATTCTTGTGGCACTATGTCAGATTATATTGCACTTTGTTCCAGTCCATAACATTATGGTGTTTCTTATCACTCCAGCTTAGTTTCCTTCACTAAAGGCCTGTCTAAACAGGAAAGTTTTTAATTGGTTCTTGAAAGAAGGGAGGGAGCTGTTATAATTTCTTTTGGGAGGGTGTTCCACAGGGTTGGGACAGCCACCAAAAATGTCCTTTCCCTCATCAATGTCAGTTGCATTTGCGACGGTGGTGGAAGTGAGAGTAGAGACTCACCCGAAGATCTCAAAGAGTGGGCCGGTTGGTATGAGGAGATGCGGTCAGATAAGTAAGTTGGACCTGAACCATTTAACGCTTTAAAGGTCAAAACCAGCACCTTGAATTGGGCTCGGAAATAAATTGGCAGCCAGTGCAGGTGCTGTAGAAGAGGGGTGACCACTCTCTGGGTCCAGCACCTGTAAGAGCTACAGTACCTGGCTGCAGCTCTTTGGACTAATTGAAGTTTCCAGGCACTCTTCAGGGGAAGCCCCACATAGAGCCCGTTACAGTAATCTAAGTGGGATGTAACCAAGAAAACCCTAGGGAAAGAATTGGTCCCATGCCCCAAAATGAAATATGAGAGATATTAGAGATTCCATAAGTTGTTGGAAGTAAGTGCACCATAACCTTATTGAAAAGGTAAAAAGGATGTCACATCCGTTTGGCCGATGTGAATCTCCATGAACATGTGGAGACCACCTTTGGAAAACCACTAGTCAAAAAGCATGACCTTGTTAGAAGTCAACCCTTTGAACAAGTGATATTCATAAGCATTCATGTAATGGCACACAGGTAACTCAGCTGTTAAACCAAAGAACCTGTCCAGATCTGTAGCTTTTTGGCAAAATAATTACCTCACAAACAAAGTTGGAAGGATTTAGTTCAAAAGCATTCAGTAGAGAACATAACAAAACTCCAACTGACAGGAGGAGGATTTCCTTGTCATTTTATAAAAATGGAAGATGGAAGCTGAACCCTCCAGCAATTCACATCTGTCTATCTTTTTTCCTTTCTTTCTCCACCCCTGATGTGCTTCCGCCACCAACAGCACATGTGACTCTGGATCCAGACACAGCCCATCCTCGTCTCATCCTCTCTGAAGACTGCAGTCATGTGACATTTGGAAAGAAAAAGCAACTTCTTCCTGACAATCCTGAGAGATTCAGTGATTACCCTTATGTGCTGGGCCAGGAGGGATTCACAGGAGGCAGGCATTTTTGGGAAGTCCTTGTGGCGAGTGAGGGAGAATGGTTTGTGGGAGTTGCCAGAGAGTCTGTGGAGAGAAAGGACTTAGACCGCTGTGGCCCTGAGACTGGGATCTGGGAAGTGGGAAAGTATGACAATGAGTACACCTTCTCCTCCGACAATGATGAGGACTCCCGTCTGACTCTGAACGAGGAGCCCATGAGGGTTCGTGTGACTCTGAATTATGAAGGGGGTCGGGTGGCCTTTTACAATGCAGACTCAGCAGCCCTGATCTTTGAATACCCTCCAGCCTCTTTCTCAGGAGAGACCCTCCTCCCATTGTTTTATGTGGGGAAAAAAGCCCAACTGGCACTCTCTCCCTAAGGATGGAGAGGAATGTTCAAAGACTCACACCAGCCGAGACACAAGAGGAGCTTTATCTCCAGCGAACTGGGGCTGTTGCTTTTTTTGTGGAGCCTCTCTGCTCTCTCTTTATATATTTACCTAAAGACTGACTGGGAGGCTGGAGTGTGAATGATAGAGCCATTTCCCAGTGCAATGCTCAGCTCATGGGCCGGCCAAGAACTTCCTCTCCTGTTTGGAAAGACAGCAACAACAACAACATAAAAGAGGAAATAAACATAATAAATAAACATCAATATAATAATACATTGAAACCAATTGTTACCCAATCATTCTATAATACAGTAGTTAGTGGGCAGCTTTTCTATTCCCTTTTCACCATTTCTTCAACTTTCTGAGGGATGTAGGTTGGATTTGCCTATGCAGCTTTGGTTTCACACCGAAACAGCATTGGATCAAGTACGAATGAAAACTGAGGTATAGTCGGACCTCCATATTTGATGGTTTCATTTTTGTAGGTTTTAATTATTCAGATATTTGGTTAAAATAGTCTCTCTAGGAATCTTTAGGTCCTTCAGTGTGGCTCTATGGCCAGATTCCTGTGGGAGTCAACTATAGATATTCATAGACAGAACAATTCTCAAGGCATTGATAAGGGCTCCAGAATGAATCTGTTGGAAGTTGACCTTGTTCCCTTGTTCCCTTTTTGGCTTTTTGTATTTTTTGAATATCTTCCACTTCTTCTGTACTTGTAAGGTAGTAATAAATGTTATAAACAGTATAATGCACAAAAAGTGTTGTAGACTCTTGTTTGTGCTGCAAAAAACCTTGAAATGTTGATTGGGTTTCCCAAAAAAGGTGAGTCCCATCCCCCCCCCCCCCCCCCCCCCCCGAAATCTTAAGAACTAAACTGGGTAAAAAAAGGAGAGACTGAGAGAAGGCAAGAAGAGAGCATGGATAAACAGGAAGACAGAGATAAAAAATAAGACTATAAATAAACTATAGGCTTATTGTGGATTGCTTCCTTTTGAAAGAACCGATTTCATATTTTTTTGGTCTTTGGTACCTGGCATATCCCTTTCAACCCTTTATTCATGCTTATGACATCCTCCAATAAAGAAGTCTTTGCCATTGTTTACCGCCATTAAATCAGCGTTGACTTCTCACAACCCTTTGAAGGAGAGACCTCCCTGTCCCCTTGTCACCACAAGCCCTGCTCAGGTCCTGCAAAGTCAGGGCTGTGGCTTCTTTCACCCTCTCCATCTGGACTCGGTCTTCCTCTTTCCCTCCTGACTTCTTCTCACTTGTCAAGCATTATTAGGGCTAACTGTGCTGTCGCACGCTGGGCCTGTGCATAAGACTGTAGACAGGACATACATTCTGTGTGCCCAACAGGACGCCGGGGCTGCCTCAGATTAAAGGCCCTTGGACCTTCCCAAAACAAAGTTCTGTAGAGGCTTAAAGTAAGTCCAACAAAGTTCTTTATTGATGAAAAACAAACAGGTACTTTAAAGCTTTCTTAACAGTCTATAGTAGTGTTTCTCAACCTGGGGGTCGGGACCCCTGGAGGGGTCGCAAGGGGGTGTCAGAGGGGTCGCTAAAGACCATCAGAAAACAGTATTTTCTGTTGGTCATGGGGGTTCTGTGTGGGAAGTTTGGCCCAATTCAATCATTGGTAGGGTTCAGAATGCTCTTTGATTGTAGGTGAACTATAAATCCCAGCAACTACAACTCCCAAATGTTAAGGTCTGTTTCCCCCAAACTCCACCAGTGTTCTCATTTGGGCATACTGGGAATTCATGCCAAGTTTGGTCCAGAGCTATCATTGTTTGAGTCCACAGTGTTCTCTGGATGTAGGTGAACTACAACTCCAAAACTCAAAGTCAATGCCCACCAAACCCTTCCAGTATTTTCTGTTGGTCATGGGAGTTCTGTGTGCCAAGTTTGGTTCAATTCCATTGCTGGTGGAATTCAGAATGCTCTTTGATTGTAGGTGAACTATAAATCCCAGCAACTACAACTCCCATGGGATAAAATCAATCCCCCCCCCCCCCCCACCAACCCCATCAGTATTCATATTTGGACATAGTGGGTATTTGTGCCAAATTTGGTCCAGTGAATGAACGTACATCCTGCATACCAGATATTTACATGACAATTTATAACAGTAGCAATATGACAGTTATGAAGTAGCAACAAAAATAATTTTATGGTTGGGGGGGTCACCATAACACAAGGAAGTGTATTGAGGGGTCATGGCATTAGGAAGCTTGAGAACCACTGGTCTATAGGCTCTTGCAATCTTGTTCACTGGGAACAGGCACTATCTTCATAACTATATAATAACCAATGGGGAAATCCTTAACTTCTAATCTGGGCAGTCTGTACTTGCCTCTGTTGGTGTGGAGCCCCTGCATCCGGTACCAACTTCGTCTGGCTTCCGCGAGCGACCCTTACCAAGCAGAGCTTTGTAGACTTCCAGGGGAAAAGAAGGAATTCAGGTTGCTGTGATGGCTGGCTGAAGTCCCTCAGCAAAAGGAGCTGTAAGGCTGTAAAATCCTCAGCCAAGCTGTGGGGCCTTTTCTCCCCGGCCAAGCTGTAGGCTGTATATCTCCCTGGCCAAGCCGTAGAAGACAAGCTTTCTACAGGAGCTCTTCGTTTTATGTCCTGTGCGAAAGGCTTCTTTGTGAGAACTGACTCAAAAAGGCTCCTATTCCCTCCAAAACTCAAAAAGGGGCAGGACCAGGGAACCTAACGATAATTGACAGGTGGCTTGCCCTATGATTGCAGCCAAAAGAAGCCACCTATCTGCCGAGTCCCTGAAACTTAGGACTATGACAAACATTAAATGCAAAGCAAACAAAATTGGAGCTCCTGGTACAGTTGTACCAGCACACTAACAGAGGTAGATTTCAATAAGAATGAAGGGACTCTATTAATGTACATAACAACAGCAGCAAGAATAATATATGCTAGGATGTGGAGACAAAAAGAAATATCCAAAAGTTAGGAATGGTTGATAAAATAACTAGAAATTAGATATATGGATGAACCGACCCATTTTTTAAAAAGAAGAAACCAAGAAACCGTTGAAGCAAAAACGTAATGGAATCCAGTGAAAGACTATTTAACTAAAATGAATATAAAAATGTTGACTTAGATATCCAGATCGATACATCGCCAGGTATTGGGGAAGCAAGAAGAAGACAAGAACATAACAGGAACATTTAATGGACTAGAAGGAAGATATTTTAATCATGATAAAGAAGATCGGAAGGACCAATTATGCCCCCAGTAGAAACCCCTTTCCCTTGTAAACCCTTTCACCCCTATCCACATGGTTTTCCCTACCCTGTCCTTTAGTTTGCAGTCTATTTTATCATTTCACTTTATATTGTTGAGGTGGTGGATGGTGGGTAGTTGTGGGGAGGGTTGGATCGAGGTCTGTTGTTTTCCCTTTTTTCTTTGCTTTGTGTACTTGTATGACTAAACTGTTTTCTTCAAATTTTAGTTTATGTATGTCTAAAACTTAATAAATATTATTTTTTAAAAAGCATTATTGTCTTTTCTAGTTATCATAAAAACCTAAAGTAGTCTTCCATCTTCCCAAAGGGCTCCGGAGATGCCTTGCTGCCAGACATCAGTGCACTCTATACTTTTCACTGAACTGTTTATATTTACATAAAAACACATTATAGTGTATTCTTTAAGGTGTAATGTTATCGTAAGGTGGTAACTGTAGAATGTGTCTTGGTTAGTAATCCCTGTCAGGGAGGATAAAGTTGGGAGGGGATTTCCCCCATCGAGTCTATACTCCTCTCTTCACACAAATTGAAACCGGATTTAGTAGAACCAACAGAATCAGGAAAAGACTTTAAGACCATATTAAATGTATCAGAGATTTATTACAGGTTGAGCATTCCTTATCTAAAATGCTTGGGACCGTAAGTATTTTATTTTTTACATATGCCTAATGAGATTACTGCAGATGCAGACTGCAGCCAGGAAATCAGAAGACGTTTACTCTTTGGGAGGAGAGCAGTGACCAATCTCAATAAAATAGTGAAGAGCAGAGAAATCACACTGGCAACTAAGATCTGCATAGTCAAAGCAATGGTATTCCCTGTAGTCACCTATGGATGTGAGAGCTGGACCTTAGGGAAGGCTGAGCGAAGGAAGATAGATGCTTTTGAACTGTGGTGTTGGAGGAAAGTTCTGAGAGTGCCTTGGACTGCGAGAAGATCCAACCAGTCCATCCTCCAGGAAATAAAGTCCGACTGCTCACTGGAGGGAAGGATACTAGAGACAAAGTTGAAGTACTTTGGCCACATCATGAGGAGACAGCAAAGCCTAGAGAAGACAATTATGCTGGGGAAGGTGGAAGGCAAAGGAAGAGGGGCCGACCAAGGGCAAGATGGATGGATGGCATCCTTGAAGTGACTGGACTGACCTTGAAGGAGCTGGGGGTGGTGACGGCCGACAGGGAGCTCTGGCGTGGGCTGGTCCATGAGGTCACGAAGAGTCGGAGACGACTGAACGAATGAACAACAAATGAGATATCTTGGAGATAGGACCCGAGTCTAAACAACAAATTCATATATGTTTTGCATGCACCTGATACAGATAGCTTGAAGGCAATTTTATTCCCAGTATTTCCGATTAGTTTGTGTATGAAACGGTTTGTATAGCAGCAGAAAGGAGTCTATAGAGAGTGTAAAATGTTATTCATTGCTGGGTGGTGGGGGGATGGACGACTCAGTGGCACCTCTTCACAACAGAGAATGCAAATTCTGGAGAAAACAGACAGAAGACGGTATGGGAAGATACCAGAATATGACTCAAAAGAAGGACTGTAAATGCAGTCACATGAAAAATAAGAGATGGAGAAAGGACCTGATCCTGGAAGGCATTGGACACCGACATGATTTGAACCAAGAATGAATGTGCTGTGCAAGATTTCATTTTATGTAAAATAAGCAATGAATCCTAACTTGCATATATAGATAAAGGTTTTCATGTAATATGTAATAACTTTTCATTATTACCATGTTTGTATGTGTCCATATCTCTCATAAGAGGGGTTGCTAGTAAAACGGAATGACTGATGCAAGTCAAAAAGGTTGTGTAATCAAAAAGAAAATGTTTGGAAAGCTCTGCACTTAAGGCAGTAGATGACATCTTATCTTGATCCTAAGCAGGGTTTACCCTGGTTAGTATTGGATGGGAGAGAGTCAACCCATACTCGATAATACAAGGTATATTACAGGAGAAGGAAGTGGCAAAACTATTGCTGAATCTTCCTTGACTAAGAATGCTCTGTAACATCTATACTGCCTTCATATGTTAACAGGTGAATTGGAGGTAATGCACAACACGCTACAGATGTTAATTCTGTCAGCTGTAAAGGGGCAAACCTCCTAGAAAGGGCAACTCTCTCCCTCTCTAGGTCCATCTAGACTGTGGAATTAGGGCCTTTTGACACCACTTTAACTGCCATGGCCCCCAGTGGCGCAATACATTAAACCCTTGTGCCAGCAGGACTGAAGACCAACAGGTTGGAGGTTCAAATCTGGTGAAAGCATGGATGAGCTCCTTCTACCAGTTCTAGCTCCCCATGCAGGAACATTAGAGAAGCCTCCCACAAGGATGATAAAACATCTGGGCGTCCCCTGGGCAACATCTTTGCAGACAATTCTCTCACACCAGAAGTGACTTGCAGATTCTTAAGGCACTCCTGACACACACACACAAACTGTCATGTTTCAATGCTTTCAAATTATGGGAGTTTTCTGCCAAATGGTGCTGCTACATCAACAAACTACAATTTCCATGCTTCCATAGCATTAGGTCAGAGCAGTTAGAGTGGAGTCAAACTTCATCAATTCTGCAGTATAAATGCACCCTAGTTTTGCTCGCACAGCCATGTTTAAGTGCAACATATTCACCCACCTGTATTCCTAATGGGATCTGTTGTAGCATTTGAGGCAAAGTAATCCATATTTGGCTACCTCACGTAATGAACAAGAGGTTGCTATCCTAAAGGACCAGCTGCTGTCTGATCTTGGATGTTAAACTGTGCCAGCCCTAGTTAGAACTTGGATGGGAAACCATAAATGAATCCCAGGTGCTGCAGATTACATTCCTGTGGAAGGAATGACCAAAACCACATCTGAATCTTCCTTGCAAAAGGAAACACTATGAGATAGATGGGTTTACCCATCTGCCTATGCCTCCGCTTTTCCCTGGATCTCCTGCTTCCACTCTCACCTGCCTTCCTCTCTCTACTGCATCCCAGGATCCATTTACACCATGGTGTAGAATGAATGCTTTTTGCAGCACTTTAGTTGCCATGGTTCAATGCTACTGAATCCAAGGGGTTGTAGTTTTCCAAGGTCTTTTTCCTTCTCTTCCAGAGGGTTCATGCCTCACCAAACAATAGTTCCCATGACTCTATGGCACTGAGTTGTGGCAGTTAAAGTAGTGTCAGATTCCATTCATTCTACAGCGTAGATCAGTGGTTCCCAACCTGTGGGTCCCCAGGTGTTTTGACCTACAACTTCCAGAAATACCAACCAGTTTAGCAGCTGTTAGGATTTCTGGGAGCTGAAGGCCAAAACATCTGGGGACCCACAGGTTGGGAACCACTGGTGTAGATGCACCCCAAGACAAGACAAAGCCTTTTTCCTTCAGTCAGAAAGGTCAGCCAGGTTTCTATGGGGGGGATCAGGTTGGATAGGCTGGACCTAAGTTGCAAAGGCTTTATACCAGGGGTCCTCAAACTTTTTAAACAGAAGGCCAGGTCACAATCTCTCAAACTGTTGGAGGGCCGGATTATAATTTGAAAAAACATGAATTCCTATGCACACTGCACGTCTCCTATTTGTAGTGTAAAAACACAATTAAAATGAAGAACAATTTTAACAAAATATAAACTTATTAGTATTTCAATGGGAAGTGTGGGCCTGCTTTTGGGTGATGAGATAAGGTTGTTGTTGTTGTTGTGTGCTTTCAAGTCGTTTCAGACTTAGGTTGACTCTGAGCGAGGGCCGGGTAAATGACCTTGGAGGGCCGTATCCGGCCCTCAGGCCATAGTTTGAGGACCCCTGCTTTATACAGTAGATTATATTAACCACCCCTTTGAATTGTGCCCGGAAGTAAACCAAAAACCAGGAAAGTCCTTTTCCTTTCATTTATTTTTTTTTAGCAAAGGAGTGATATGCTCAGAGAACAAGTTGCATAGTTCCCAGAAAGGCAGAGAAAGGGAAAGGGTCCTCTTTTCAGGTTCTTGAAACTACAGGCATTTTAAGAATTCAGATCTTACAATGAAAGAGGCTGGCCAGAGGCAGAGTCAACAGGTGCTGTCCATGAAAGGAAAGTCTGAGAAACAAAAGCTAGATCATTAGGTCTCTTCTCTTCCTCCTGGAGTAGCAGCTGCAACCACCATGGCTTCTAGAGACCCTGTGAAGGAGCTCTGTGAGGAACTGGCCTGTCCCATCTGCCTGGAGTATTTCAAGGAGCCTGTGATCATCTCCTGTGGGCACAATTTCTGCCAGTCCTGCCTGGATCAGTGCTGGGAAGGGAAAGAGGCCTCCTGCCCACAATGCAGGGAGAAAGTGCAGAAAGGAGACATCAGGCCAAATAGGCAGCTGGTGAACCTGGTAGAGATAGCCATGAAACTGGGAAGCCTGAAGGCAGAGGAAAAGGGAGGAATTTGCCAGAGGCACCAGGAGCCCCTGAAGCTCTTCTGTAAGCACCACAAAACCCCCATCTGTATGGTGTGCGACAGGTCAAAGGAGCATGAGAACCACAAGGTGATTACTGTGGATGAGGCATCGAAAGAGTATAAGGTAGGAGAAGGTGAAGTTCCACCTCACAATATGGAGAAGTGATTGGTAATTCAATATCCTGTGCCCTTGGGTATTCAGAAACCTAAGGTCACTGTAGAATTCGTGTAGTTCAATACACCTATAAGTATTTTGGGATAAATGCCTAAAAACTGAAACTAAATGCATAACAAAACTATATGAAAAAACTACTGGAATGGTCAACAGAGACCGAGCTAATAAAAGACTGCATGGGGAAATGGGCAGAAAACTTTAAAAGATCTAGAGCAATATCCGATTGGGAAATAATGTGGAAGAAAAAACTTAAGTACACCTATGCAATGGATTTAAAGGAGAACTGGATGAAAATGTTCCATAGGTGGTACATGACTCCTGTTAAATTAAATCATATGTACAAAGAGGTCTCAAAAATATGCTGGAAATGCTGTGAGCATGAGGGTAGCTTTTTTCACCTATGGTGGACTTGTGTGGAAACTCAGAAATACTGGAAAGATATTCATGAAGAAATTCAGATAATACTTAAAAAGAAATTTCCAAGGAATGCTGAATATTACTTATTGGGAATTGTAGACACGGATATAAAATTAGATTCAAATGAAGATATTCTGTTTATCTATATGACTACGGCCGCTAGAATCATTTTTGCGAAATTCTGGAAGCAGAAAGAAATACCAGATAAACTCCACTGGATAAGTAAGCTGAATGAAATAAAGGACATGGATACATTAACTTTTTTATTAAAAAAGAACACCAGTACTCCACCCAAACAGACAGATTGGTCAGTAATAGCTGACTACATTGAAACGAGATACAAGAATTTATAACTGTGCTGAGGTTATAAAGAAGACATAAATTGGAATCATATATAAGACATGGATTAAAGAAGGGACTATATGGGCAGAACCAGAAGGAAGTCCAACTTTTCTAATTTTTAATTTTTTGATTTTTGATTTTTGATTTTTTTGATTTTTGACTGTGGTGGTTGTTGTTGGTTTGTTTGCTTGTTTTTCTTTCTTTCTCTCTCCTTCTTTCTTAAAACTTCCCACTTTTCTATCTTCTTGAATTATTCCACCTCTTTCGCTGTATTTTAGAAAACTCAATAAAATTATTTTAAAAAAAATACACCTATAACTGTTTGACTCAATGCTATGGAACCAAGGGAGCTGTAGTTTTACAAGGTCTTTAGCCTTCTCTGCCAAAGAGTGCTGATAACTCACCAAACCACAACTCCCAGAAATTATTTATTTATTATTTATTTTCAGCATTTCTACCCCATCCATCTCAACCCACTCCCCCCCCCCCCCCCCCCCCATGGGAGGAGGACGACTCAGGACGGCTTACACTCAGCAGCAATACGATGATGCAACATACAAACAAATACAATAATATAGCAAAAAAAATATTTAAACAGTAGATAAATCGTTAAGTTAAAAACATTTAAAAACATTTGTCAACCATATAACCCATTCCAGTCCAATTCCATATCCAAGGTGCTTTTATGCCTGCTGTCCAAAAAACATGTCCCAGAACCATGATTTCAGTTTCTTCCAGGCTATCCTTGAGCCCTGGCAATTAAAGTAGTGTCTGTACTGCATTCTACTGTGTAGATGCACCCTAAGACATGGACCAATGGATCAAACTACAGGAAAAAAGGATTCAGCCTGGTCATTAGGAAGAACTTCCTGATGGACAGAGCTGTTCCATGGTGGAAATTGCTGTATCTGATTGTGTTGGAGTCTCCTCTAAATTGCTGATAACTCACCAAGCCACAACCGCAGCATGTGGATGTTATCGCATATATACATTGATTAGTACAGAAATGAGCCCCCAGTGGCAGCACTGAGCTGCTGAACTGGTTGACCAAAAGGTCACAGGTTTGAATCCAGGGAGTGGGCTGAGCTCCCGCTGTCAGCCCCAACTTCTGCCAACCTAGCAGTTCGAAAACATGCAAATGTGAGTAGATCAATAGGTACCGCTCTGATGGGAAGGTAACAGCGGCGGTCCATGCAGTCATGCTGGCCACATGACCTTGGAAGTGTCTACGGACAACGCTGGCTCTTCAGCTGAGAAATGGAGATGTGCACCAACCCCCAGAGTCAGACATGACTGGACTTAATATCAGTGGAAAACCTTTACATTTACCTTAGTACAGAAACAAAACCTGTCATGTTCAGATACTTTGTTTGTTTGGAGGGGCTCATTATGTGTAAGGAAAATTCTGGAAGTAGCATTAAGAAAAGGAGCGAGGCCTGCTAATAAAGGTCAAGATTGTCCAAATTTCCCATAAAATCCAGTAAATGTGGTGTGGTTGACAGCATGATATTTGAAACTACCTTTCTAAACCTTGGACAAAACAATTGATCAAAGACTTTGTTTTCCTTTTCAGGACCAAATTTGGAATTTGCTGAAGTCTCTGAAGGAGGAAAAAGAGAAAATTCTGGCCTACAAAGCAAATAAAGCAAAGGAAATTGACCGTTGGTTGGTAAGTGGGAAAACATTACAACTTTGAGTCTGTGTCCGTACAAACTGGATATGCAATGCAGAAATAATTGTGTCAAAATGTTTTTAAAAGCCTGATAGCCTACAGAAAATATTGACCCAGGTCCATTCCAATGGCAGGCACTTGCAGGAATTTACAAAGCTCTTTCACGATGTCAAGGGACACAAGTCTATTTCTTCCTGCCTCTCACTCCCGTTTCTTCTTTCTTTCATTGAAGGAGAAAACCCAAATGGGGAAGCAGAAGACTGTGGCTGCATTCAGAGGTATGCATCAGTTTCTAGAAAAACAAGAGAGGTATCTGCTGGCAAAAATGGAAGAGGTGGAGAAGGAGATTTGGGAGAAAAGGGAGGAACTTCTGGCCAGACTCTCCAAAGAGGTCTCTTCTCTTTCAAATCTCATCCAAGAGATGGAGAAGAAGCATCAGCAGCCGGCAAGTGAACTCCTCCAGGTAAGGCTCATATTGTCTCCATGTCTGGCTGAGACAGGGACACCTTTGACTTCTAATGGTTCAATGTACACATATTTTGTTTTATGCACACAATATGTGTAGTGTCATGTCGTACAATATGAAAGAAGACAAATGCAAAATGTAAATGAATTTAGTGTTTAAACTTGGGTCCCATCTCAAGGACATCTTATTACTCCAAAATGTGAAAAAATCTGAAAGACAGCTGGAACCTGTCATGTGATATGATGATACCTTTCAACAGAGGATCGAAAGATCTTTGGGGCTGTGTCCAAACTTTAGGATCATAGAATGTTAGAGTGGGAAATGACCGCTAGAGTCATCTAGTCTAGCCTTATACTACCATGCAATACTGCAATACTTCTGAAAGTTGCCTCTTTTTAAAGACCTCCAAAGTGAACATGAGTCAAGAAAATGGTGCAGCAGCACACAAAAAAAATCCCAATTTGAATCTAAGCTGCATCAATAGCAGTATTATTTATTTATTAAGGACATTTATATCCCGTCCTATCTCAACCTCCATGTAGGGACTCAGAGTGGTTAACAAGAGCATAAATATACATATTAAGTAAAAACAGTATAAACATTATAAAAACATTTTTTAAATCGCCAATTTAAGTCGTCATCCTAAAAACAGTCCATCGGTGTCCATTAAAACCATAGCTTTGTCATCAAGACAAAGTCTAGTCCACAAAGGTCTGATCCCACAGCCAGGATTTTACCTTTTTTCGGAAGGTCAGGAGGGATGGAGCGGATCTGTTTCACTTGGGAGGGAATTCCATAGCTGAGTGGCCAGCACGGAGAAGACCCTATCTCTTGTCCCACCAACCGCAATTGTGATGGTTGAGAGACAGCAAGCAGGGCCTCCCCGGATGATCTCAAGGTCCTAGGTGGTTCATATCAGGAGATACGTTCAGACAGGTAAACTAAACTATAAACAGTATAGAGTCTGGGTCAACTTCTGGAACGATTCCATCAGATTTGCCTCTGAAAGATCCTGCAAAACCCTTGGGAAGACAGGCAGACAAATGTCAGTGTTCTGGAAGAAGCAAAGACCACCAGCATTGAAGTGACTGTCCTCCATCATCAACTGTGCTCAATTGGCCACGTCTGAAATCCCGATCACCATCTGCCATAGCAGTTACTGTACTCCCAACTCAAGAATGAAAAACGGAAAGTTTGTGGATAGCAAAAGAGATTTAAAAACGAGCTTAAAGCTAACCTTAAAAACTGCGGCATAGACACCAATTACTGGGAAGCCCTGGCCCTTGAGCGCTCTAACTAGAGTTCAGCTGTTTTCAACAGTGCTGTGGAATTCAAAGAGACATGAATGGAGGGCGAAAAGAAGAATGTGTCAAGAGTAAGGTGCGTCAAGCCAACCCTTGTCGGGACCGCCTTCCATCTGGAAATAGATGCCTTCATGCAGATCAAAAATAGATCTCTACAGCCACCTATGGACTCACCTCCAAGACTTTACACTTGGAAGGCAATCATGGGCCATGGGGGATTGCCTATGATGATTAGTATCTGTATCAGAGGACATTAACATCCCACTCTATTCTGCGTTTGTCAGGGCTCGCCTGAAATAACCCTTTGTTCATTTCTGGGCAAAACAATTCAAAAAGGATATTAACAAGCTGGAAGGTGTCCAGAGAAGGGTGACCAAAATGGCCAAAGGTTTGGAAGCCAAGCCCTAAGGAGTTGGCTACGTTTAGCCAGGAGAAGAGAAGACTGAGAAGTGACAAGTTTGCTATGTTTAAGGAAGAGGGAGCAGGCTTGCTTTCTCTGGTCTCAAACAGTGGAGATATCTTTGCTGAAGATTTTGGACGGCTATCTGTCAGGAAAGCTTTGATTGAGTATTCTGCACAGTTCCGGCCTGGTTTATCCTCCCCTATAAACCATCAAGGACTTTAAGATCTTCCGAAGAGGCCCTGCTCTTGGTCCCCCACCTTCGCAGTTGTGCTTGGTGGGGACGAGAGACATGGCCTTCTCTGTGGTGGCTCCCTGGCTATGGAACTCTCTCCTGATTGAGGTTAGGTCTGCCCCCTCCCTTCTGACCTTCAGGAAGCAACTGAAATCCTGGCTTTGGAATCAGGCATTCACAGATTGATGGATTAAACCGGTAAAGACTAAGAGTTATTGGACCACAATGTTGGATTGAGTTGGAAGATGTTTTATCTTGGCGAACTGTTTTTATATGTATTTTATAATTTATTTATTATGTATGCTGTTTTAAAATGTTATTTATTGTATAATATTTAATTTTTGCTGTTAACCGTTCTGAGTCCCTCCACCGAGGTAGAGAAGAACGGGATATAAAAGTTCTAAGTAATTAAATAGATAATAAATATTATTGCGTAGGGGATCGTTGGACTGAAGAGATCCACTTTCTCAACATCCTGAGGCTTGCAGAAGGTGCATTTGGACAGTATTTTGGTGGCTCTGCCAAAAAGCTATTTGTAGTAGCTTTTGGCCTAAGCAAGTGGCCTAAGCAAGAAGTGAAGGTACCATCACCAGGGGCTTTGTGGGAAGGGGCAGCGTTTGTTTCTTCTGTTGCCTCTGGCTCAGCCCTGTGGACTCACTCCTGGCAGAACCGAGGCCCTGACTCTGCAGCTCAAGGCCAGCAACAACACCTGCTTGCCCCAGAGGCTGAGGCATAAAAAGAACCATGCCTGCAGGGCCTCTGGCCTAAGCAAGAAGTGAAGGTACCATCACCAGGGGCTTTGTGGGAAGGGGCAGCGTTTGTTTCTTCTGTTGCCTCTGGCTCAGCCCTGTGGACTCACTCCTGGCAGAACCGAGGCCCTGACTCTGCAGCTCAAGGTCAGCAACAACACCTGCTTGCCCCAGAGGCTGAGGCTGCAGGGGAAGGATTGCCCGGGTCCGGGAGGGAGCGCTGCTGCGTTGCTGCTCCAGCTGCCTGGTCCCTTGGGTTTTTGGTCCTCCATCACCCCGGCCGCCTGCTGCTTTGGCGAAGCTTGGTGCTGACAAAGTTGTGGACTCCGTTCCGGCGTTCCGGTGACTTTCGTCTGGATTGCTGTGTGGCGGCCAACGGCGCCATTTTGGGATTTGGCTCTCGGCCAGCTTTCCAACGCTCTGGCCGCATCATCCTCCAACGCGCTGCCGCCATCTTGAGGCTCGGTTTGTTCTTCCAGGGCCTAGTCAGCCTTCCAACGCCTGAGCATATGCTCTTTAGCAGGTCCTGGAAGCGACTTACTCCCGTTGGACAATCAGACAATAGAACTAGCTGCGGGCAACGACCATCTTGCTACCATCTTAGAGTAGTGTTTAACTTGCCGCTATCACATGAAAATTCCACCATTCTATCTGTATTAACTCCGGAAAAACTGTGCTGACCATCCTTGGGCCTGATTACTGTGGCATCTCGTTGTGCTCAATTTTAGACAGAATTTTAGATAGTTTGTGTTGTCCATTGCCAAATTCATCTGTGTTGACCGCCTTTGATTGTGTGGACCATCTTTTTGCTTGTGCTAATTATCTTTGCGACCAGCTTGTGTTGATCTCCTCTGACGTTGTTAACCATCGCTGATAGTGCTGACGACCCTCATTGTGTTAATAACAATAACTATTTCAGTGGTTGAACGGAGATTCTAAGAACTAATAGTTGTATTGCTAATAAGCAAATGTACTATTATTTTATGTGATTTTAGCACTTTACCCGATCAGCACTTTAATTGACTACCTCTGTGGTTAAATTGGGCCAATAATTTATTGAGCTTCAGCACTTTAATTGATCCAACGAACCATCTAGCGTTTGAAGTTAAGTCCTCCATGACGCACTTTATTTAGCACTTTAAAGCTGAGTAAGAAAGCCATTGCACTCTAGTTAATTATACCATCTTGAACGATCATCTGCACTTTAAGAACCTTAGGAAAACTCCTCCGACAGCGCTTAACAGCTACCACTCATGACATTGCCCTGGCAATTGTTAATTTTGTTGTTGATTGCTTATGGTGGAGAGTGGGAACGGAATAGATCTGTAAGATCTGAGTTTAACAAAGCAGGAGTGGAAAGTGGATGGAAGGTAGGACTATGGCAATCTGAAGCCACAACATATCATATAGTTAATAATGAATTGTTTGTTGATACTGTGGCCGTTCAATGCGTCATGGAGGAGGGAGAGGGTTCCGCTAACCGGGGAGCCCCCATAGAAGTCGTGGTGGGGAGGGGGAGATACGGGAAAGGGAGACCTTTAATTCGACCTAGGGAACGGGGGCGGGGAACAACGTTAGTAATTCCAAAGCGGTCTCCTGATATGACAAGTTGGTGTAACCAGGATGGCGGTCCCTCCGGATTGAAAGTGGTGCTGTTGAACGCCAGATCTGTCAACGGTAAAACAACTTTCATCCAGGATTTAATCCTGGATGAACGGGCAGATCTGGCGTGCATCACAGAGACCTGGTTGGACGAAGCGGGAGGTGTAAATTTAACCCAGCTTTGCCCACCAGGCTTCTCTGTGCAGCACCAGCCGAGATCCGGAGGGCGGGGAGGCGGAGTTGCAGTGGTCTACAGAGATTCCATTCTTCTGACCAGGGCCCCCATCCCGCAGTCAACAAATTTTGAATGCGTCCACCTGAGGGTGGGTGACCGGGACAGATTAGGGATTCTGTTAGTGTACCGTCCACCTCGCTGCACTACTGACTCCCTGACTGAGCTAGCGGGGGTGGTCTCGGACCTGGCGTTGGAGTCCCAACGGCTGCTTGTGCTGGGGGACTTCAATGTCCATGCCGAGGTCGCCCTATCGGGAGCGGCTCAGGACTTCATGTCTACCATGGCAACCATGGGGCTGTCCCAACAGGTATCTGGCCCCACCCACAGTGCTGGACATACATTGGACTTGGTTTTCTGTCAGGGATGGGAGGAAGGTGGCGGTGTTGAGGAGTTATCCATCTCTCCGTTGCCATGGACCGACCACCACCTGGTCAGCTTTAGACTCACTGCACCCCCTAACCTCCGCAGAGGTGGAGGACCCATTAAATTGGTCCGCCCCAGGAGGCTTATGGATCCGGATGGATTCCTGACGGCTCTTGGGGAATTTCCCGCCACCTCGGTTGGTGATCCTGTTGATGCTCTGGTCGCTCTCTGGAATGGGGAGATGACTAGGGCAATAAACACGATCGCTCCAGAACGTCCCCTCTCAAGTAGCCGAGCTAAACCAGCTCCTTGGTTCACCGAGGAGCTGGCAGCGTTGAAGCGAAAGAAGAGGGAACTAGAGAGCGTGTGGCGTTCGGATCCGAGCGAGCCAAATCGAACACGGTTTGTGTCCTTTTTAAGGGCATATGCCGCGGCAATAAAGGCCGCAAAGAAAACTTTCTTTGCGGCCACTATTGCGTCTGCAAAAAACCGTCCGGCTGAACTGTTCCGAGTTGTCAGAGGCTTATTAAAACCCTCCACTCAGGACGGGTGCCCTGAGGACTCGGCAGCTCGCTGTGAAGCTTTTGCTCGGTTCTTCGCAGACAAAGTCGCTTTGATCCGCTCTGGACTGGACACCATATTAACGGCAGTATCTGAGGATGTAACACGAGCATCTGCTTGTCCGGTTTTGATGGATTCATTTCAATTGGTTCAATCCGAGGATGTGGACAAGGTGCTTGGAGGAATGAGAGCTACCACATGCATCCTAGACCCCTGCCCATCCTGGCTTCTAAAGGAGGCCAGAGGGGGATTGGCCGAGTGGGTGAAGGTGGTGGTTAATGCCTCCCTTCGGGAGGGCAAAATTCCAGCCAGCTTAAAGCAAGCTGTGATAAAACCGCTGTTGAAGAAACCATCACTGGACCCCACTCAATTCGTCAACTATCGGCCTGTTTCCAATCTCCCCTTTTTGGGCAAAGTCATGGAACGTGTGGTGGCCTCACAACTCCAGGCATTCTTGGTAGACACGGATTATTTGGATCCGGCACAGTCTGGCTTTAGGCCGGGGCATGGTACCGAGACAGCCTTGGTCGCCTTAGTGGATGATCTGCGTCGGGAGCTCGACAGGGGGAGTGTGTCCCTGTTGGTGCTGCTCGACCTCTCAGCGGCCTTCGATACCGTCGACCACGGTATCCTTCTGGGACGCCTCGCGGGGATGGGTTTGGGAGGTACTGTTTTGCAGTGGCTCCACTCATTCCTCGAGGGTCGGTCTCAGAAGGTGTTACTGGGAGACTCCTGTTCAACCCCACAACCTTTGTCTTGTGGGGTTCCTCAGGGTTCAATACTGTCTCCCATGTTGTTTAACATATACATGAAGCCGCTGGGCGAGATCATCCGGAGTTTCGGAGTGAGATGTCATCTGTACGCAGATGATGTCCAGCTCTGTCACTCCTTTCCACCTGCTACTAAGGAGGCTGTCGAGGTCCTGAACCGGTGCTTGGCCGCTGTGACGGTCTGGATGGGGGCGAACAAATTGAAACTGAATCCAGACAAGACAGAGGTACTCCTGGTTAGTCGTAAGACCGAACAGGGTATAGGATTACAGCCTGTGTTGGATGGGGTCGCACTCCCCCTGAAGACACAGGTTCGCAGTTTGGGTGTGATCCTGGACTCATCGCTGAGCCTGGAACCCCAGGTTTCGGCGGTGACCAGGGGAGCATTCGCACAATTAAAACTTGTGCGCCAACTGCGACCGTACCTTGGGAAGTCCGACTTAGCCACGGTAGTCCATGCTCTGGTTACATCCCGCCTTGATTACTGCAACGCTCTCTACGTGGGGTTGCCTTTGAAGACAGCCCGGAAGCTCCAACTAGTCCAACGGGCGGCAGCCATGGTACTAACAGGAGCGGGGCGCTGGGAGCACACAACTCCTCTGCTGCACCAGCTCCACTGGCTGCCGATGCTACCGGGCTCAATTCAAAGTGCTGGTTTTGGCCTTTAAAGCCCTAAACGGTTCTGGCCCAACTTATCTATCCGAACGTATCTCAGCCTATCAGCCCACCAGGACCCTTAGATCTTCTGGAGAGTCCCTGCTCTCTATCCCACCGGCTTCCCAAGTGCGGCTGGTGGGAACGAGAGACAGGGCCTTTTCTGTGGTGGCCCCTCGGCTTTGGAACACCCTCCCTATAGAGATACGATCAGCCTCTTCGCTGATGGTGTTTCGGAAGAGATTAAAAACATGGTTGTGTAAACAAGCATTCGGTTAGTTGTTATCACCGAATTTTATGGACTAAGGACTGGTTAATTATGGATGACGAATTCTGGACTGTGATTTTAGTGATGAGATACATGGTATTATTATTGGTGGCCCAATAATTTGTATTGTCTATGTGTTGTTGTTTTAAATTGTATATTGTTTTTAATTGTTGTAAACCGCAATGAGTCGCCGACTTAGGCTGAGATATTAGCGGTATACAAGTGTATTAAATAAATAAAATAGTAGGTACCCTTTACATAGATTTACCCTCCTAGGCTTGCTTCAACTACTTCAATGAGTTGGAAATGCTACTTTTTCAGAGATGCGAGAGTAGTTCCCATGCCTCTGCTGAGTTGTTTATTTCCTTCATTCACAGGATATTGGAAGCGTCTTACAGGGGTAAGTTAATCTCACCCCCAAATCTCATGTCTTCATGTGAAGCACATGTCTCTCCCATCTCAGGCTTTGAAAAGCAGCATCCCATTGCATCATTCAGTGTTTGGCTGGGTTCACGGTGGAGTTGGACTTGATGCCTTCCACCTCTGTGCTTCTGTGGGTGCATCTACACTTGAGCCATGGCACCGCCATGGCTCAATGCTGTGGAATCATGGGAGTGTAGTTGGGTGAGGGACCAGCACTCTTTGGCAGAGAAGGCGAAATAACTTGTAAGACTACAACTTCCGTTATGGCATAGCATTTAGCCAAGGCCATGAAAGTGGTGTCGAACCCTCTGATATTGCTCTTGCTCCTCCAGATATCAGAAGAGAAAGAAACATGAGACTCTGGTGGTTTTCCCTCCTGCCCTGAAATGGAAGATCTGGGACTTTCGTGATATAAATCACTTTCTGGAGGGTGTCATGAAGCAATGCAGAGGTAACAAACATCAGAAAGGATTTTTAATTAAATGTGACATTTGGAAAGTTGGGGATTATATGGGAATGTAGAAGGGACCTACAGCTGGATCTAGCCTGTTAGATAATTCAGTTCAAAGCAGATAATATGGAATGTATATGGCAATGTAGAATGGGCCCTAGAGATCCCTAGGGATTGTCGAAGGCTTTCATGGCCGGAATCACTGGGTTGTTGTAGGTTTTTTTGGGCTATATGGCCATGTTCTAGAGGCATTCTCTCCTGACTGAGAGACTGAGGAGAGAATGCCTCTAGAACATGGCCATACAGCCCAAAAAACCCTACAACAACCCAGAAATCCCTAGGGATGTATTCTCTGGGAATTTATAGATCCACCAGCATGATTCTGTCATGAATGACTTTTCAATTACTTTAAAGCATAGGTTCTTTTTATTGCAATTTTCAGTGTGAGAGGGTATATCAGATTACAGGAAAACATTATACATAAGACATACAGAATCTATGCAACTACTTTAGATGTGCAACAACTTAAAGTTACATTGGACAAACAAACAGACAAAGGGGAATTACATTTTCACTCAGCATTCACACCACATGTACATGCATTCATCCTCAGGCATTCAAATATTACCATATTTTTTTTCTCCCTCCTTGGAGAAGCACCTGTTAGGCCAGGACCTGCTTTCCTGCAGCCTGCCAATGCATAGTTCCAGAACTTCCATAACTTCAAAACGCCGAAATGCCAAAACTTCTTTCCCTAAGAACAATGCCAAGCACCAGATCTGTTTTCCATACAGCAGAACATGACTCCCTGCACAAAATTTAAGACTTCAAATGTGACTTCTTCCTCTTCCCTTGAGAAAGAAGCCCCAAAGTGACCGGATTTCTCCCGTGCGAATCTGCCACTCTCCATACGTACACAATCTCTCTCCTTCCCATGGAGCAGAGCATAGCGGGTGGAACAGACTCCTCAGGTCAGTCACACTTTGAGCATTATTAGACTGAGTCTTTTATTCTGCTGATGTTGTCCAAAAGTTGTAAATTAATAATAGACATCTTCCGTCCTGGCTCCATCTCCGCTTCCTGGCCAGATGTTGACTCTTCTTGATTAGTGTTGATCTTATGTTGACTTCCTTCTTAACATTGTAAACATTTATCTTATCACTGCCCAGTTCTTATCACACTTTACTTTTCAATTCTTATTAGCAACTTTTAATTACAGTCCAGCAAGCAGGTAGTAAGTTATTGTAGGCCTTAATATTATACTGGTGTCTCCAAAATTATTAGCTCCATCCATATATTCATCTTCCATTCATTCCCACACATCATATTAAATACGCATTTATCAAATCCGCACAGCTTATTACAACTCTAAACATTCAAACTTTGGTGGACATTGACCATCGGGTCACACAGCAGAATCTGGAGATTCTGAGAGATAACATTTTAATCAATCCCTGAATGATCAGATTCACTGGTTGTAGCCTCAGTCTGAGAGGTGGATGGCATTTCTATCTAGGTCTCTTAACTCAGGATGCATTGAGACATACTTAGCGAGGAAAGAGGCAGAGGAGGCTTCCCCACAACCCATCCTTTCTTTCCTTCCAGTGTGAACTAAGGAAGAGAGGCCCTTTGCACAGTCATTTTATAGATCCCTTTTGTCTACACATCCAAAACGTCCACTGATATTCTCCTATGGAGACAGGGCATCACACACTGCACATTGTAGCACATAATATATCTATTCCATGCCTGGCCATACATTGACACACATTGGACAACCAAGGCCACCATGCCTGAATGAGGCATAACTGTGTGTTGGCGAAGTTACACTTCATCTCTTGGGTGAAGGATCTCCGCCATCTTGAGTTGTTTCCTCTTGATTTCTGAGTGTCACCATGTTCTGTTAAGCATCTTTCTTCCTTTTCTCTCTTTAGATTCTCTGGAATCTGGACTTCAGCAGCAAAAAGGTAAACAGGGGGAAGTGGTTCAGAGGGGGTTTGCCGCAGCCTTCCCTCTGAGTCTGAGAGTGGGACTTGCCCAAGGCCACCCAAGAGCTTTCCATTACAGAGGCAGGATTCGGACCCTGGTTTCTCAGGCACCATCTACACTGCCATATAATTCAGTTTGTGAATCGAGATTATTTGCTTTTAACTGGATTATATGGCAGTGTAGACACAAATAATCCAGTTCAAATCAGATAATCTGGGATCAGATACTGGGTTATATGGCAGTGTAGATCTATCTTCAAGGTACAATAGCGTCACTGTAGTCATCGTGGCTCCTAGGCAACATTCGGATTTTATTTATTTATTCTCCTGAATCTTTTTACGCAGCCTCAAACTTCCATAAAATACAGCCATGCAAAACAAAACAAATTATTGGGTTGTTGTAGGTTTTCTGGTTGTATGGCCATGTTCTAGAAGCATTCTCTCCTGACGTTTCACCTGCATCTGTGGCAGGCATCCTTAGAGGTTGTGAGGTCTGTTGGAAACTAGGAAAATTGGGTTTATATATCTGTGGAAGTTCCAGGGTGGGAGAAAGAACTCTTGTCTGTTGGAGGTAGGTGTGAATGTTTCAACTGGCCACCTTGATTAGCTTTTGATGGCAGTTTTTAGGTGTGGCTTGTTTCTGCCTTGGAAATTTCCTTGTTGAGAGGTGTCCAGGTATTCCTGATTGTTTCCTGGTAGCCACTTTGATTGTCATGGCTCATGTGATGTCTGTAGACAGTCCATGTCTTGCAGGCGTATAGCAGGGTTGGGAGGACAATAGCTTCATAAACAAGCACCTTGGTCTCCCTACGGATGTTCCTGTCTTCAAACACTCTGTGCTTCATTTAGAAAAATGCTGCACTCGCAGAGCTCAGGCGGTGTTGTATTTCAGTGTCAATGTTGACTTTTGTGGAGAGGTGGTTGTCAAAGTAGTGGAAATGGTCAACCTTTTCTAATGTTACACCATTAAGCTGTATTTCTGGCATTGAAGATGAGTTGGTTGGGACAATAATAATGGTGTCACAGAAGGGGATGATTTCATAGAATCATAGAATCAAAGAGTTGGAAGAGATTTCATGGGCCATCCAGTCCAACCCCCTGCCAAGAAGCAGGAATATTGCATTCAAATCACCCCTGACAGATGGCCATCCAGCCTCTGTTTAAAAGCTTCCAAAGAAGGAGCCTCCACCACACTCCGGGGCAGAGAGTTCCACTGCTGAACGGCTCTCACAGTCAGGAAGTTCTTCCTCATGTTCAGATGGAATCTCTTTTCTTGTAGTTTGAAGCCATTGTAGTTTGAAGCCATTCTCCAGGGAAGCAGAAAACAAGTTTGCTCCCTCCTCTCTGTGGCTTCCTCTCACATATTTATACATGGCTATATTTCCTCTCAGCCTTCTCTTCTTCAGGCTAAACATGCCCAGCTCCTTAAGCCGCTCCTCATAGGGCTTGTTCTCCAGACCCTTGATCATTTTAGTCACCCTCCTCTGGACACATTCCAGGTTGTCATTTGTGATGCTTCAAATTGTTTCTGGCTTACGGCTGCCTTAAAGAAATCATATCATGGGCTTTTCTGGGGCCAAGAGAGTGTGACTTGACCAAGGGAATAAAACCCTGGTCTCCAGAGTTGTAGTCCAACTGCTATATGCTGAAATGTTATTTAAGGAGGAGAGGGGCATGTCGTAGAACAGGTTGAAATATGGGGGGGGGGGCAAGGGAGGATTTCCCTGATTTTACAAGAATGAAAGATGGAAGCTGAACCATCCAGCAATTCACATTTATCTGTCTATCTGTCTTTTTTCTCTTTTTTTCTCCATCCCTGATCTGCGTTTCCCACCAACAGCACATGTGACTCTGGATCCAGACACAGCCCATCCTTGTCTCATCCTCTCGGAAGATCGCAGACGTGTGACGTGTGGAGAGAAAAAGCAAGATCGTCCTGACCATCCTCAGAGATTCAATCTATATCCTTACCTGCTGGGCCGGGAGGGATTTACAGGAGGCAGGCATTTCTGGGAAGTCCTTGTGGAGAATGGGGAAGAATGGTCTGTGGGAGTTGCCCGGAAGTCTGTGCAGAGAAAGGGTTCCATCTCCTGTGGCCCTGAGGCTGGGATCTGGGAAGTGGGAAAGTGGGGGAGTGCCTACAGGTTCTTCTCCAACAACGATACGACCCCACGTCTGACTCTGAGCAAGGASCCCAAGAGGGTCCGAGTAAGTGTGAACTACGAAGGGGGTCGAGTGGCCTTTTACGATGCAGACTCWGCAGCCCCGATCTTTGAATACCTGCCAGCCTCTTTCTCAGGAGAGACCATCCTCCCCTTGTTTTTTGTGGCCAAAAATGCCCAACTGAAGCTCTCTCCCTAAGGATGGAGAGCAACATCCAAAGACTTGCACCATCTCAGACACAAGAGGAACTTCATCTCCAGAGAGCTAGGATTGTTGCTTCTTTTTGTGGGACCTCTCTGCTCTCTCTCTATATATATTTAACTAAGCCACTTCCCTAGTCTCTCTAGGAAAATTTAGGTCCTTCAGTGTGGCTCTATGGCTAGATTCATGTCAGAGATGACTATAGAGATTCCTAGACAGAACACTTCTCAAGGCATTTATAAGGCCTCTAGAATTTATCTGTTGGAAGTTGACCATCTTCCCTTTTTGGCTTTTTCAATTTTATGAATATTTACCACTTCTGCTGTACTTGTATTTAGTACTTTTCTTGTACTCTGTTTAAAAAGTTATTAAAAGTATAATGCACAAAAAGTGTCAAAGACTCTTCTTTTTCTGCTGCAACGAACATGGAAATGCTGGAACCCTGAAGAAGGAGACAGAAGGCCTGGACTGACCTTGAAGGAGCTGGGGGTGGTGACGGCCGACAGGGAGCTCTGGCGTGGGCTTGTCCATGAGGTCACAAAGAGTCGGAGATGACTGAACGAATGAAAAACAACAAGCCACTTCCCAGTGCAATGCTAATTTCATGGGTCGGCCAAGGACTTCCTCTCCTCTTTGGAAAGAAAGCAACAATAACAACAGCAAAGAGGAAATAAAAGACTAAACCAAATTTTAACCAAGAATCCCATAATTCAGTAGTGAGCGGGCAGCCTTTCTATTCCCCTCTCCCGATTTCTTCATCTCAGGCTGAATTTTGTGAGGGTTGGTAAATGTAAATAAGCAGAATAAGCAGAAGCTTCAGCACAGTATTTAAACCAAGATATATCCTTCAATATAATAAAATGTCACTCAGGCTTATAAAACAAGTAACAGTATTTTTACTTTTTAAATAATTTTCGAAATAAGCTTCATGGCATGAAATGATCAGTCCTTAAGATAGTTGGCAGTCAGCAATATCTATCCACTGTCCAAAGAGAGAACAAATGGCAGAATGACAGTTAGAACCGTTGGCCTCAGCAGTTAGCCAGAGACAGCAGCCTATTAGAACCTTGGCTCCGAGCACACTCAGCCAGTCGGCTGCTGACACATCTCTCTCCAGTTAACCCACAGTATCATGGCGTCCTTTTTCAAATCTTCACAAATTTGCCTATCAGGCTTTGGTTTCAAACCCAAAACAGTATTGTCCCTAGAACAACTGAAAACTAAGGTATAGTCGGCCCTCCATATTTGATGGTTTTGTTTTTGAAGGTTGATTGCTCACAGTTTTGGTTAATATAGTCTCTCTAGGAAAATTTAGGTCCTTCAATGTGGCTCTATGGCCAGATTCATGTCAGAGATGACTATAGAGATTCCTAGACAGAACACTTCTCCAGGCATTTATAAGGCCTCTAGAATTTATCTGTTGGAAGTTGACCATGTTCCCTTTTTGGCTTTTTCTATTTTTTGAATATTTACCACTTCTGCTGTACTTGTATTTAGTACTTTTCTTGTACTCTGTTTAAAAAGTTATTAAAAGTATAATGCACAAAAAAGTGCCAAAGACTCCTTTTTTCTGCTGCAAAAACATGGAAATTCTGATTGGGTTTCCAAAAAAAAGGTAAGTCCAATTTTTCCCTCAAAGCAATCTTGCGAGCTAGACTAGACTTTTCTGGATGGAAAAGGAGAGATGAGAGAAAGCAAGACAAGAGCATGGATAAACAGAAAGACATAGAGATAGAAACACACTGAAATAAGCTATAGGCTGATTGTGGATTGTTTCCTTTTGAAATAACTGTTTCATAATTTGTTTTGTCTTTGGACAGCAATGGCTCCCAAAGTGACCCATATAAGGTGGAATCAGGTGTCAAACAGGAATGTGTTACTGTCCCAACCTTATTTTCCATCTTCACCGCTACAATACTTCATCTTGTTGACGGGAAGCTTCTCACCAGAGTGGAAATCATCTGTCAGACAGATGGCAAGCTATTTAACCTCAGCAGACTGAAAGCCAAAACCAAGGTCACAACAACATCTGTTATAGAACTCCAATACGCTGATGACAACATCATCTGTGCGCACTCAGAAGAAGACCTACACACCACTCTAAACACCTTTGCAGAAGCATACGAGAAGCTTGGCCTGTCACTGAACATCGAGAAAACCAAAGTGCTGTTCCAGCAGTCACCAGCCAATCCCTCTCCAATGCCAGAGATACAGCTTAATGGTGTAACATTAGAAAATGTTGACCATTTTTGCTACCTTGGCAGCCACCTCTCCACGAAAGTCAACATTGACACTGAAATATAACACCGCCTGAGGTCTGGGAGTGCAGCATTTTTCCAAATGAAGCAGGGACTGGGAGTGTTTGAGGGAGACCAAGGTGCTTGTTGATAAAGCTGTTGTCCTCCCAAACATGCTATATGACTGCAAAACATGGACTGTCTACAGCCGTCACACACAAGTCCTGGATCGTTCTATCAGCATTGCCTCCGAAAAATTCTACAAATCTCTTGGGAAGACAGGTGGACAAAGCACATTGTCAGTGTCCCGGAAAAAGGAAAGACCACCAGCATTGAAGTGATGGTCCTCCGCCATCAACTCCACTGAGTCAGCCACGTTGCCGAATGCCCGACCACCGTCTCCCAAAGCAGTAACTCTACTCCGAACTCAAGAATGGAAAATGCAATGTTGGTGGACAGGAAAAGAGATTTAAATATGGGCTCAAAGCCAACCTCAAAAACTCTGGCATAGACACGGAGAACTAGGAAGCCCTGGACCTTGAGTGCTCTAGCCGGAGGTCAGCTGTGACCAGCAGTGCTGCAGAATTTGAAGAGGCATGAATAGAGGGCGAAAGGGACAAATGTGCCAAGAGGAAGGCATCTCAAGCCAACCCCGACCAGGACCGCCTTCCATCTAGAAACCAATGTCCTTACTGTGGGAGAACATGTGGATCAAGAATAGGGATCCACAACCACCTACATACCTACCACCAAGACACCACATCTGGAAGACAATCATCTTCGAGCTACGAGGGATCACCTAAGTAAAAGTAAGCAAGTCACCCTTCTCTGTGAATGAGTACTAGTGCTCTCTCTCTCTCTCTGTCCATATTTCTCATAAGAGGGGATGCTAGTAAAACTGAATGACTGTGTTGCAGATCAAAAAGAGTGAGTCGCCAAAATAAATATGTTTGGAAAGCTCTGCACTTAAGGCACTAGATCACATCATATCTTGATCCTAAGCAGGATTTGCCCAGGGTAGTATTGGATGGCAGATAGTGAACTCATACTACAGTAGATAATACAGGGTATATTGCAGGAGGAGGAGCTGTCAAAACCACTGCTGAATCTTCCTTGCCTAATTAAACTCTGTAACCTCCATGGGGCCTTCATACATTAAAAGTATGGAAATAAACCCAGAGTTAGGGAAGCTCTTGTTCTTTTTAACAAGAGAGGTATATGCTTAGAGAGCAAGTTACATAGTGCCCAGGAAGGCAGAGGAAGGGGAAGTGTCCTTGACCTATGTTCAGATTCTTGATACCACAGGCATTTTGATAATTCCGATCTCACAGTGCAAGGGGTTGGGCAGAGGTGGAGTCCAAGGGTGCTTTTCCAGGAAGATAAAATGTGAAAAACGAAAACCAGGTCGTTATGTCTCTTCTTCCTGGAGCAGCAGCTGCAACCACCATGGCTACTGGAGACCCTGTGAAGGAGCTCTGTGAGGAACTGGCCTGCTCCATCTGCTTGGAGTATTTCAAGGAGCCTGTGATCATATCCTGTGGGCACAATTTCTGCCAATCCTGCCTGGATCAGTGCTGGGAAGGGAAAGAGACCTCTTGCCCACAATGCAGGAAGGAAGTGCAGAAAGGAGACATCAAGAGGAATTGGCAACTGGCGAACCTGGTGGAGATAGCCATGAAACTGGGAAGCCAGAAGGCAGAAGAGAAGGGGAGAGTCTGTCAGAGACACCAGGAGCCCCTAAAGCTCTTCTGCAAAGACCACAAAACCCCCATCTGTATAGTGTGTGAGAGATCGAAGGAGCATGAAAACCACCAGATAATTCCTCTGGATGAGGCATCGAAAGAGTACAAGGTAGGGTAAAGTTCCACCCCACAATACAGAGGTGTAGCTGGCAAGTCAATGTCCTGTTGCCTGAGGTTTTCAGAAAGTTAGGTGCATCTAGACCAGGGGTCCTCAAACTTTTCAAACAGAAGTCCAGGTCACAGTCCCTCAAACTGTTGGAGAGCCGGATTATAATTTGAAAAAAAAAAAAAGAATGAATTCCTATGCACACTGCACATATATTATCTGTAGTGCAAAAAAAAAAAAACAACAACAACAACAACAACTTTAAAACAATACAATAATTAAAATGAAGAACACTTTTAACAAATATAAACTTATTAGTATTTCAATGGGAAGTGTGGGTCTGCTTTTGGCTGATAAGATAGGAGTGTTGTTGTTGTTGTGTGCTTTCAAGACATTTCAGACTTAGGTTGACTCTGAGCAAGGGCCGGGTACCTTGGAGTGCCATATTCAGCCCCCGGGCCTTAGTTTGAGGACCCCTGATCTAGACTGTAGAATTCCTATAATCCAATACACCTTTAACTGGCTTGACTCAGTGCTATGGAACCAAGGGAGCTGTAGTTTTCCAAGGTCTTTATCCTTTTTTGCCAAATAATGCTAATGCCTCACCTAACCACGGCTCCTAGAATGCCATAAGGCATTAATTCCTTATGGGTATTAATTCCTTAGGGTAGATACACCCTAAGACATGGAGCAATGGATCAAACTATAGGGGAAAAAAGATTCTACCTGAAAATTTGGATGAAAAGTGCAGTTCCAATTAAAACTTCGCACCATTAAAACTCGTGTGCCAACTGCGACCTTACCTTGTGAAGTCTGACTTGACCATGGTGGTCCATGCCTTAGCTACCTCTAGACTGGACTACTGCAATGCACTCTACACGGGGGGGGGGGTACCCTTGAAGACGGCCCAGAAATTACAACTCGTTCAACACTCAGCAGCCAGATTAATAACTGGGGTGAGTTACAGGGAGCAGTCAACCAGGGGTGGCTCGTCCATTACACGAAGTAAGCGGTCGCAGAACACTTTTTTTGCCAGGGGCGCAGAAGCGCCTCTGTAAATGCCCCTTGACCGCCACTTGAGGAGCGCCCCCTCAGCTCACAACAGCCCTAGCAGTCCGGGAGAAGCCTTGGCTTTCTTGCCTCGCTGCCGGGCAATCCTCTTCCCAAAGGGGCCGGGCCTTGCCTAGCCCCTCTCGTTCCTGCTCCACCTGACCACCGGGTGCTCTCTCTCTTGGTTCCAATGGCTGAGGAGAAAGTCAGGAGAAGAGGTGACTTTTGGT